ATATATAAAATAATTTCTTTACAATTAATATTGTGTATTTACATGCATGAAGAAACAATGGGGAGTAATGGTGTTATGTTTATGGATTTAGAGTGAAAATAGAGTTGGAGAGATGAGTGATAGGGTTAGAGGAAGATCATTTTACTGTGAACATTTTAAAACATTTTGATTCTAATATTACTTGGGATTTTGTCATTTATTTATTTTTATGGCAGGGTTTCTTTGTCTCATAGTCCTTACTGTCCTGGAACTCACTTTGTAGACCATGCTGGTGTTGAACTCACAGAGATCCACCTGCCTCTGCCTCTCAAGTGCTGGGATCAAAGGTGTATGCCACTACCACCGAAATATTTTATAAGAGTGTTGAAGGATGGCAGTATAGATCATTGGTTACACACTTGACCAGCATTAGCATGCACAAGCCCTAGGTTCTATCCCCAGTACATATGTAAAAAATGGTTGAGACTGTCAGAAGTGTTACTTCAAGACCAGCCTGAATTACATCATGGGAAGGGAGGGAAGATTAGAAATGTTACTTATTTCCTGTCTTTTAGAGTGTAGGCCAGATAGTTAGATTTGTTAGCACAGAATGGTAATGAGGTTAATAGCTATTGGAATGCAGATTTGGGGCAGTGAATATCCAGCTTTATCTGCTATGTAGCTTTTGAGTTGCAAGTGTCTGTACTGATAGGAATAAGGGGGCAGGAGTTTGGGGTTTGAATTAGATAGTCTTGATTAATCTCCCCCTCTTTCCCCCCCCCCCTGTTTTTTTTCGAGACAGGATTTCTCTGTGTAGCTTTAGGCTCTGTCCTAGAACTCACTCTGTAGACCAGGCTGGCTGTGAACTCATTGAGATCCACCTGTCTCTGCTTCCCAAGTGTTGGCATTAAAGTCATGTGCCACCACCACCCGGCTTTTTGTTTGTTTGCCTGAACCTTTTTTTAAAAACCTTCTGCAGCCTTCCTAAATTTCTTTTTTTTTTTTTTAAAGTCAAGTGGGATGACAGTAATATATATATATATATATATGTATATATATATATATATAATTTATTTATTTTTTATACATTTGCCCTATGTGAAACATTTAGTACAATTTAGCATATGGCTGCATAAATAATAAAAATGAACTGATCTTGTATAGAATATCTGCATGGTCTGATTCTTAGACAAGGTAATATAGATGATACTTTATTTAATGAACTTTAGCAAAGATTTTTTTTTTTTTTTTTTTTTTTTTTTTTTTTTTTAAGGCTGAATAGATGTTTATTCAGGGAGAAATAACTTACAACCTAGACAGATGAACACCAGGAAATTCAACCAGATCCTCTCCTGTCAGAGTCACGCCAGCCAAAGATTTTTATTTAAAAGCATTATTTATTTATTTGTGTGAATGTGTGAGTGCTTGAGTACCATGGTTTATGTGTGGAGGACAAGACAACTTTAAGGAGTTATCTCCTCCCACCCTATGTGTCCTGGAGATTATAAAGTCAGGTTGTCAAACCTTGTGGGTAGCACCTTTACTTGCTGAGCCACCTCACTCCCCACCATTTTCTAATACCCAGGTCTTGGCTTGAATATCTCATCTTCTCAACACTTCTAGTTCTTTTATCTTGGAGCATGCTATAAACACTTTTCATTGTAGCATTTGACCCTGTAATAGTTCTGTTTTTTAACATCCACATGATATCTCAAATAGTAACAGTTCTGTGTTAGGTACTCATTATTTATAGGTGACTTTTATTTATAAAGTATAATATGTTATAGAAGTTAAAATGTAGGCAGTGTCATGATACACGTTTGTGTATCATGAGAGCCATCTGAACACATGCAAGTAACTGACTTTAGAAAAGGTATAAAATGTGGATCTGGTTACAGCGTGATGGGTTTTTTGTTTGCAAGATTTGTTTTAAGTAGTGTTTATAAAATTTAAAAAAAAAATGAGACAGGTGTGGAACATCTGCAGTCAAGACATGTGGGAAGCAGAGGCATATGAAATCATCACTGTTAGCTAGAGGCCAATCACATAATGAGTCATTCCAGACTACACACCTTGTCTCAAAAGAAAAAAAAAATGATTTGTTAATAGTCTAGTAAGCTATTAAATATTTTCTTCATTTTAAATTTTCTATTCCTTTTGTTCTCCCTCTTCTCCTCCTATCCCCCCCCCCCTCTTCATCCCCAAGTCCACTCCTCAGAAGGGACTTTCATAGGAGGTCAACAAAGACTGGCAAATCAAGTTGAAGCAGGGCCAAGCCCCTCCCCCCCCCCAGCATCAAGGTTGAACAAGGCATTTCATCATAGGAAATGGGCTCCAAAAAGCTAGCTCAAGCACCAGAGATAGATCCTGGTTCTACTGCCAGGGGCCCCACAAACAGACCAAGCCACACAGCTGTCACACACATGCAGAGGGCCTAGTTCGGTCACGTGCAGGCTTCCCCTTTTCTGTTTATTTCCCCCTTCGTGATCCTGACCCCCTTGCTCATATAATCCTTCTTCCCTCTCTTCCACTGGACTGTCCCAGTACTTGGCTGTGGATCTCTACATCTGCTTTCGTCAGTCACTGGATGATGAAATTAGGGTAGTCAGCAATCAGATTAAAGGAGAAGCCCAGTCCAAGCACCCTCTCTACTATTGCTAGGAGTCTTAGCTGGGGTCATTGTTGTGGATTCCTCTCTCCATCAAAATATGTCTTTCATTGCTTTCCCTCTCCATCCGTCCCACAACTCGACTAGCCCCTTCCCTTTATTCGCCCCACTCCCAGTTTCCCCAGGAGATCTCATCTTAGTCATCTAGCAGCATATTTTATAAAACACAGTTTTGTATTTCGGTAGGCTGATGACTACATGAAGGCACATGTTATGATTGTGATGTTTTGTTATGCCTCCCACAATTAATTCAAAGTCTGGTACACAATAGTGTTTGTAAACATTTGTTGGATGCATGGATAAGGTATTTTTTTAGCATACCTAGTAATAGAAACTTTTTCTCTCATCAACATTGAGCTTGTGTTTGAGGTTGAGTTATCTCTTTTTTTTTTTTTTTTTTTTTTTTTTTATTGAGACAGAGTCTCACACTACAGCCCATTTTACCTAGAACTCACCATGTACTTTGCAGTGGTCTCAAAGTTTGAACAGTACCCCTTTTAGACTCCTAAGTGTTGGTATATAGGTGGAGTTTTGCTGCCTGACCACCTGCTCCCAAATAACCTGCAGCCACTTCCCCAAATAACTGATTCAGAGACTTAATATAAATTGTAGGTGCTTGGCCAATACCTCAGGCTTGTTACTAACTAGTTCCTATAACTTATCCCATTTCTATTAATCTATGTGCTGCCTTGAGGCTCATGGCTTTTACCTCTATCTCATTTTGTGTGTCTGACTGGTGACCTCCCTAGCTTCACCCTTCTTAATCTCAGTTTGACTTTCCTAACTTTATCCTGTTCAACTATTGGCCAGTCTGATTGTTTATTAAACCAATCATAGTGACATGTATTCACATAGTGTACAGAAGGATTATTCCACAGCAGTTGAGCTTATAGTTCTGAGCTACCACACTTCACAGTATTGAAAACTTCTAATAAAATGTGAATTACTTATAATTACTTTAAAAATAGGATGCAGTAAATAATTTTTCTATTTAATTACAGCTGAGATAATATTTGTTTCCATCTTTGTAAGCATGCTACTGGGCATTATCAAATCATTAATAGTGTAATGTTATTTTACTAGTTACTTTTCTCATTGCCATAAAAACACCATAAATCCTAGCACTGAGGAAACAGGCAAGGGTAGTCCTACTATGTGATGAATTCCAGGCCATCCTGGGCATATAGCAAGACCTTGGCCACTACCATCCCCTTATCCTCCCAATTAAAACAAAACAAAAAAACTAAAATTATTGGTAAAATTAAGTAACAGTTAAGATGTTTGGAAGACTAGATTTGTAGCTGGTTGGTTGGGGTGCTTGTCTAGCATGTGCAAGAACCTAGTTTAATCTCTTTAAAACAAAGCAAAATACATATATATGGAAGGTTTTAGGTTGGGTTTTTTATAGTTTTAAACGTTTCTAACAGGACCAGTGAATTAGCTCAAAGGACAAAAGGGCTTATTGCCAATACTGACAACCATAGTTTAATCCTTGGGACCCATGCACTATGAAAGAACTGATTCCTACCAGTTGTGTTCTGACTTCCACATGTATGCAATTGTGTGTGCCCTTCTCCCATGAATAAATGAAATGAAATTTAAAAAATATAGATATTTCTGTTTAGCTTTTATCTCTAAGCAAAAAACATACATGAGGAAATTTAACTATGTTTGGGATATAGTTAATTGTAATTTTCTGGTCTTTAAATTTGAGGATTTAAAATTCTTTTGACATTTTAACCATCCTGTTCTAGCAATACAGTATGTAGCAATGAAATGTAGGTCATAGTTAAAATCTACCAGAATATAAAACTTTTAGCAGTGTCCAAAACTTAAAAAAAAAAACTTGAATTTCATATGTCTCTCTTATTAGTCCCACCATATTTGATAAAGTATTTAAAAGTAGTGGATTTTGGTTAAAGTTTGTTTTGTTTTGTTTGTGAGACTTAGTCAACTTTGTTATAAGTTGAGGATGACCTTTGACTTCTCCAGTACTAGGGATGCATAACTTACATAAAAGCACATACATGAGAGTTCTTACAACAGATTCATGTAGATCAAGAAATGGAATTAGTTTTTTTAACTAAGATTGTGAGGGTCAGGCATCGTGACAGTCTTTAATCTCAGCACTTGGGAGACAAAAGGCAGGCCATTCCTTCTGTATATAGAGACTTGTTTTATGCTGTCTGTCTTTAGAGAATGAGGTCCTAATTCCAACCTCCCATAAACTTCAAAGGTCATGATATGGAAGGTTGTAGAGTCAAAATTAGACTTATGATTTCTTTTCAACAGTTTGATTGAAATTAAGAAACAGATTATTCTAATCTTTTTTTTTCCTTTCTATTTTTTCTAGGTTATATTTCACACTATGTGCTGACTGTATCTACAGAAGATATTTAAAAAAAAGATAAACTTTTTTCCAAGATTTTGATTCCAGTGGAATCTTTGCTTTAGAGAGAGAGAGAGAGAGAGAGAGAGAGAGAGAGAGAGAGTGTGTGTGTGTGTGTGTGTGTGTGTGTGTGTGTGTGTGTTAGTGAATTGCAACTCCAGAAGCAATGCCTGTACAAGCTCCACAATGGACGGATTTCCTTTCCTGCCCAATTTGCACTCAGACTTTCGACGAAACAATTCGAAAGCCCATCAGTTTGGGCTGTGGCCATACTGTCTGCAAAATGTGCCTGAATAAACTCCACCGTAAGGCTTGCCCATTTGACCAGACCACTATCAATACAGACATTGAGCTCCTTCCTGTGAACTCAGCATTACTGCAGCTAGTGGGTGCTCAGGTAAGATACTTAATACTGGTTATTGTCTTTAATTGACTTTCTTTAGTTATATGTGTCTGTATTTGGGTGTGTTTATTTTAATGTTCATGAAGAAATAGTTATAGATATGTATATGCCTTGATTATTTGTGTATTTCATTGCTCTATAAGCCAAGATAATCTTAAGGGCGTCACAGTTCCAATAGCATTGTATATACCTCTTGTTTAGATGTTGGTTTCTAGACAATTCTCCAATAAAAGGAACCAGAACTCTTAGGAGAAATAGTCAGTTTTGGGGCTAGGACAGCAAGTACTCAAATGAGCCCGGAGTATCTTGTCCAAGCATCCACACAGTGATGGGACCATGTCAAAGGCATACTAGAGCTGGTTGAAAAGAGATCCCAGTGGCTAAAGCTGAAAGGGTTTGAGCAAAATAGTCATGTACAAATTATAAAAGGGCATAAAAAAGAATCAGTGGCTCTATGCAGATAAAATTGAAGTAGAAAATAACACAAAGATACAGTTATAAGCTATTTCTTTTTCCTTTTTGCACCTGCAATTTAATTTCATTTAGGAAATTTAAAGTCATTGTCCCAGAGCCCTGAAATGTTACGTGCCTTTGTTCATAACACTGGAGAGACGGGCAAGCTAATCTCTTGATATATCAAGCTCCAGGGAAGCAGGGTTACAGTAGTGAGACCTTGTCTAAAAACAAAACAAACAACAAAAAAGTACTTGTAATTTATGTAACTCTGTTTGTGCATTATGTGTCCAGGTACCCTTGAAACCGAAAAGAGGGTATTGGGTCCCTTGATATTTGGAGTTATAGGTGATTGTGAGCCACCTAATGTAGGTGCTAGGAATTTAATTTGTGTCCTCTGGAAGAGCAACAACTGTTTTTGGCTGCTGAGCCATCTCTCCAGCCCTTTAAAAAGTTACTAAATATATCTTATTGGGGAAGTAGATTGTCCGTGTAACTAAACTACCAATTTGCTATAACCACAGTAACTCTTTATTTAAAATGAGCGATAAGGACGGAATAGATCTTCCTTAACTATTTATGTAGCATATTCACATAAGTGCAGTGGTGTTTGCAAAAAGGGGAAGAAACGGGAAAGAAAACATAGAGGTGATTAAAAAAAAAAAAAAAAAAAAAAAAAAAGCTTCTCCTAACTGCATGTATACAAGAAGACTCAGGTCATATAAAGACTCATAAACAGACTTTAAGGAACAGCCATACAAACAGTATTTTAAGATAAACATTTTAATTAGATATTTTTGAAAAGGAAAGAAAACCTGTCACACAAAAAGGAAGAATGCATTCAGACTGATAAGATTTCTGTGTGAAGTTATCCCCAAATAAGTTTAAAATGCTTAGCAAGACTGGAATTAATTTCAGTTGACTACTGTTTTAGTCCCCAGGAACTCTGGTTTTTACTTATGTGATGAATGATCTTATGTTTTTGGTTTTGTTTGTTAAGCGTGTTTTCTTTTTTATTACACCTTTATTTAAAATTGTATTTTTATTCATTGTTTTTTGTTGTTGGGAGGATATTTGGAGGTCAGTGGTAGAGGATTGGCTTCCTTCTTTCACCATGTGGGTCCTGGAAATTGAGGTCAGGTCTTCAGGCTTGGTGGCAAGCACCTTGGTCCTTTGAGCCATCTTGATGGTTCTTTATTACAGTTCTGAAAAAAGAAAAAAAAAATGTAATCTCTGACTTTTTCAGTTGTTCATGTTCATGTAGCACATGTGTTCATTGCTATGATTAAAGAGTGGTTTGATGGATAGCTTAAGTCATATACAAATTTTAATGTTGGAGAAATCTGGCAAATGCTGTTGTAGCCAGGTGAACTGGATTAATGTGAACCGAAATAAGTCATATTCATAGTAGATCTTTATTTAGTATGTGATGAAAATAGCATCCCCCCCCCCCCCCCGGACTTAATGCCAAAAGTATCTAATCCCAGTCTCTCTATGAGAAAAACAAGATTCAGTCAAAAGTCAGTATACACCATGCATACCAGTATTGTGAAAGCTAAAAATATCAAAGCATAGGAAGTACTGGAAAAATGTAAAAACTTCTGGAATATTATAAAAAGTAATGTATTAGGTATTCTGGATGAGATTTTGGAACACAGGAAGGCTATTAGGTAAGGCATTCTGAGTAAAATCAGGAGTTTTAGCTATAATGAACATTGTCAGTACAGAACTGTATAATGACGAGGTGTGGTGTGATAAGAATTCTCTGAACTGTCTTTGCCATTGTACTGTAAATTTAAAATGCTTCTATAAAATCCTTTTAAAAAAAACAGGAAAAAGGTGTTTAATCTTATTAATAAACAGGAAAATACAGGTCTAGATAGTAGCATTTCTAAAATTATTATTATTATTATTATTATTTTTTTTTTTTTTTTTTTTTAGTATCTCAGCTTGCTACAAACCAGTGTCTGACTAGTGGTGGTCACAGACATGGATATATGCAGGCTCTTGCATGTTGCTAGGGAGAGTACAAACTGGGAGGTTCTTGAAAATAAAATTGGAAATGTACACAGTCCTGTAACGATAGCAGCTGTACTTACAGGTGTCAAACCAGCTGGTTTTAACATAAACATACAAGGGAGACATGTAGAGGAATGTCATCATATCTAAAACAGAAGTAGCTTAAACATCAGAACTAACTCACTGTGTAGGCTATACCACAGAAATACTATGCATTTACAGAAGTTTCCTAAATCCACACAACTACATGGTGAAAGCCAAAACTAAGATTTTTGGGCTTGTTTGTTTGTTTGTTTGAGATAGGGTTTCTCTGTGTAACAGTCCTTCCTGGCTGTCCTGGAACCCACTGTGTATACCGGGTTGGCCTCAGAATCACCAAGATCACCTGTCTCTGCCTCCTGAGTGCTGGGATTAAAGGCATGTGCCACCACTGCCTACCAAGATTAAAAAAAAAGATCCTAAGCTGTCTCAAATTAACTATGTAACTTGAACTCCTGATCCTCTTGCCTTCCCTCTGTGGTGGGATTACAGGCATGTGCCATTATACCTGGTTTATTTGCCACTAAGGATTGAATCCAGGGTTTTGTGCGTGTAAGAAAAACACTCTAAAACCGCACTCTACAAATTGAGCCACATCCCACCCCTCAAATGCATTTTTAAAGTCATTGTCAGTTTGGGAGCCAGAGGCAGGCAGATCTCTTGTGAGTTCGTTGGAGGCCAGCCTGGTCTCATAGTGAATTCCAGGACAGCCAGAGCTATAGAGTGAGACTCTGTCTCAAAACAAAACAAACAGATCCAAAGATGAAGTCTAGCATACCATTATATTGTGGTTTAGTAAGAATCAGGAAAAAGAAGTAGGCTGAATAGATGTACATTCAGGGAGAAATAACTTAGAACATAGACAGATGAACACCAGCAGGTTCCTGGTCCCAAGGATGCCTCCAGATGCTCTTCTGTCCCTGTGCTGTAAGCAAGAGAATGGTGTGTGTGTGCGCGCATGCGTGTGTCTCCATCCGTCCCCAGACCTAGTTTCCCCAGGTCACTTCTGCTGTTGTCCCCACTCCCAATGGGCATGGTCAGTGCCACAGATACGGACAAAGTGAATATCTCATTACATCATTATTTTCTGTAAATCAGCATACATTCAAGGGTATATTCCTTTGTATTTTAAATACAGGGAATGAGAGTATTCAAGGGGAACTCACAGTATCACCTCAAGAAGCCTTTTAGCAAGGAACTCATGGACAAGTCATTGAATCTTAGAATCTGATTTTTTTTTTTTTAAATGGTGTTTTGGATTTTTGTTTTGTTTGTTTTTTTCAAGACAAGGTTTGTCTGTGTAAGAGCTCTGGCTGTCCTGGAACTTGATTTGTAGATCAGGCTGGCCACCACCACCCGGCCTAGAATCTGAATCTTTTATACCAAAATATTTAAAATAAGTTATGCTGATACTTGTGTTTTCATCACAACAGTCTCCCAAAGGGTATTGTAGTTGAGTGGGAGAACATTTCCTAGACTTCAACCGTATCAGAAAAATGAAAACTCTTTCCAGATGTAAATGTTGTGACTCAATACTAAACCTTGTGTTAACTTTATATCTGAGTAATACATTTGGCCCTGAAAACACAAGTTTACCTTAGAAATACTGATTGGGGTAACAGATTAAGGGATGAGACAACGCCTGCACTGCTTCCGGTTGGTTTTTCTACATCTTTGTTGTTTAAGCTCCCTCTAGTGGCACAAAAATATCCCTACTACTTATTACTAAATTCCTTTCCCCTACTTGGTGTCACATACAACACATATACCAGCTTCATGAAAAACAAAGGCCTGCAGGCAATCCATCAAATTTTACAGATTAGGTACTAGAGAGAGTTAAGTAGGTAAGAGTGCTTGCTGCCAAACTGAGTTCCCAGCTCCTGCATCAGTCAGCTCTGCTCATAGTCACCAGTAACTACAGCTACAAGGGGTCACATTCAGACACCTACACGTAAGGAAAAGCAAAGTTTAAATATTTAAAAAGTTAACTTGTTCATTTTGATGTGTGATGCTTATTTGCAAGTTCTTCATAACAAAGCTTTAATAAATGTTTAAATTGTGTACAGTTTAATCCAGGGTACTTAGGTTTGGTACAATATGAAGTATTTTCAGCTTTGCTTTTGCCATCTGCATATCTCAGTTTAAGCATTTTGTGTTCTATTTCTGAAGATTCTAACCTTCATCCTGTATACCATCTGTAAAACTATTACCAAGATAGGATATAAAAGTTCTGGCATAAGTCTAATGGGGAGCTGTATAGATAATCATTCACTCAAATTTTTTATGTGACATGAAGTTGAAAATGCTGATGCTTTGGTTCTCTGGGATAATTTTAGTGAGTGTCAGATGTGACTAATGCTAGCACCTAGTGTCACTAATGGCCTTGACTGGACTTGGCTACAGGTGCAGGTGCAGATACAGATATAGAGAAACCAAGAGAAAACGGTCCCAGGAAGCATGATCATCTTCTCTAATTCCATTCATGGCCAGCCTAAAATTTGTTGTTGTTTTTTTTGTTTGTTTGTTTTTGTTTTTTCTCTCATATACCTCTAGCTGTTGCCGTTTGAGCCTATATGATAGCTTGTTTTGTGGGGAAGACAACACTAGAATAGGTTAGACTTCTTAGCTAGAGTAAGCTCAAATTATATCAGATAGTTTTGTTTATCTGCCTCAGAGTGTTGTTTGCACTTAGGATTTCTTGTTTGTAAGTGTGGGCATGAGCTTGCTGTGGCAGACATGTGGAGGTCAGAGGACAACTCAGTGGGCATCTTCTCCCTTTTACCATGTGGGTCTTAGTTATCCAAATTTGGGTTACCAGGCTTGTGAGCAAGTCTACCCAGTGAGCCATCACATGGTCCTCTTTAAAAAAAAAAAATAATAATTGTTTTTAATTGGTAGGTGATCCAACTGGGCAAGTCTCCAAAAAAAGTAGACATAGTTACAGTAGGCACATAAAAATTTAGCCCTTGGGGAAATTCAAATATAAACCACAGTGAGGTGGGGTTGGATGTGAAGCAAATGGGGGAAAGGGAGGTTATTGAGGGGAGAGTACAGAGTTTCAGACAGGAAAGAGTATACTTTAGTGATGTGTACAGTAGATGCTAACTGCAGTTTATGTATATTCTAGAATTGCTAAACAGATTTTTTTTTTTTTTTTAATCTTTTGAAACTATGTAGCCTTGGCTGCCCTGGAACTTGCTATATAGGCTAGGCTGACCTTGAACTCAGAGACCTACCTCTACCTCCTGAGTTAAAGCTATGCACCACCACATTGACTGAAGAGATTTTAAATATTTTTAGGATGAAATATATGAAATGACCATTTTCTTTTCTTTCTTTTTTTTTAATTTTTATTTTTGTTTTTTGAGACAGGGTTTCTCTGTAGCTTTGGAGCCTATCCTGGAACTCACTCAGTAGACCAGGCTGGCCTCAAACTCACAGAGTTTGTCTCTGCCTCCTGAGTGCTGGGATTAAAGGCATGTGCCACCACCACCTGACTCGGCTTCCTCCCTCCCTCCTTCCCTTCTTTCTATGCCTGTGTTTTTCTAGACATTTTCTTTGTAGTCTTGGCTGTCCTGGAACTTGACTTTTAACCAGGCAGTACTCAAACTCAGAGATCTGCCTGCCTCTGCTGGGATTAAAGGCATGCACCACTACCCTGCATGATAATTTTCTTAATTAGCCTGATTTAGTTATTGCAGATTATAAGCATATATATATATATATATCAATATCATCAGGGGATCATGTTGTACTTCATAAATATTTATGCTCAACACTAAAACATTTAATTAATAAAAGGATATATTGAGGTACTACTTTGTATCCAATGCCATGGTTTTATAAGACAGATACAGTAGGGTATGGTGGTATACCCCTGTAGTCCAAGCAATTGAGAGGCAGAGGCTCAAGACCAGCTTTTGTTAAGACCCTACCTCAGAAACAAAAAAAGTAGGTGATAAGTATATTAAATGGTATATAGGAAAATTATTTTATCTATTGGAAACCACATAAACATAATAAGATATTTCAATAATGAAATAATAATTAGAAATAAAAATAAATGAGGACGGAGGAAATAGCTTACTTAGTACTTTCCTTGCAAGCATTGAGTCTTAAGTTTAATTCCCAGAATCTAGATAGAAGAAGTAGGTGTGGAGGCTAGAGAGATGACCCAATGGTTAAAACACTGATTGGTCTTTTAAAGGACCTAGGTTTGATTCCCAGCACCCACACGGCAGGTCACAACCAAACTCATGTAACACATGTGGTACACGGGCATATATGCAGGCAAAACACCAATAGACATTAAATAAATATAATGAAAGAAGTGAATATGTTAGCACACAGTTAGAATCTCAAGACTGAGATTTGTTGGGAAGTTAGTGTAGCCTACTTGAAAAGTTCTAGACCAGTGAGAAACCCCCTTTATAGGTATATGAGAAACAACCACTGAGGTTTTCCTCTGGTCTCTGTACATATCTATCAAAAGAAGAAAGAAAGGAAGTGTACTTACTCCAACCTGGTTGACCCTTTAAAACATGATGCTGTTATATGTGGGGCTACATGTCTTTAATGCCAGACTTCAAAGCCAGCATGGGCTACATAGCAAGTTTCAGGTCAGCCAAGGATATGCAATTGAGACCTTGTAGCGGGAGGGGGCAAAAAAGGTATGTTTCTTTTGTGAGTGAGGAAAAATTTCAGTTAATTATGTAGTATTTGAATTCTCTTTTAATAAGGCTGCTATGGAAAAATAATGGATGTATATGTACAAGAAAAATTTTCTGAAAGCATTTAGCAAGTTTAGTCATTTTAATGATGCAAGCACCAGGACGATAGGCAGATAAATTGTACTCAATAAAACATTTAATAAATTAATGAAATACTCAAAACTTTTCTTTTGGCCTCCAGATCCCTGAGCAACAGCCCATTACTTTGTGTAGTGGGGTTGAAGATACAAAGCATTATGAGGAAGCCAAGAAATGTGTAGAAGAATTAGCATTGTACCTGAAACCACTCAGCAGTGCTAGAGGTAAATGTAATTATAAAACCCATGCTAAACAGTTTGTTTTTTGAAACAGGGTCTCACTGTGTAGCCCTGGTTGGCCTGGGACGCTATGTAGACCAGGTTGGTCACATTCACAGTGCTCTACCTGCCAGTGCTTCTCAAGTGCTGGGATTGAAGTTGTGCCCCATTATACCTGACCAAATACTGTTAAAAAATTGTGTGTTATAAATGAATATTGATTATAAAAACCTTCTCTCTCCTCCCCTCCTCACTCCCTCTTCTCTTGCACTCTTTTTTTCTACTTAATTTTCAGTGCTAGGCAAGTGTTCTACCACTGAGCTATTCTACATAGTCAATGCTAATGAGATTTATTCACTGTAAACCGAACCTACTTCATGCTAAATAATATAAACCACATAAAATAGTACTAAATCTAGAGTTTATGCGATGTTAGAAATTTGAATGGCTATAGAAGTAACTACATACAATAGTGATTTAGAAGGGATTTGCGTCTTTTGACAGTTTTTCCCACCTATGGAAACAGGGCCCAGATTGGTTTTAAAGTTGCTTTGTAGCCTAGGATAACTTTGAACTTCTGATCTTTCTGTTTCTATCTCCCAAGTGCTGAGATTACTAGTTTATGGAGTACTGGGAATTAAGCCCAGGTATTAAACACACTAGGCGGCTACATCTCCAGCTCTTATTGATAACTCTGAATAGTTTATCTTTGTCTAGTTCTAGGTTGTAAGAAAATGGAAGTTGTCATTACCTTCCAGAAAAGGCCTGCTTATTCAGTAAGATTAACCTCTATGAAATAATATTAGGAATCGGTATTTGGGTCTTGATTTAATTGCTATTGCTTTCTGTCAGTTTTTCTTTTATGATTAAAATGAGTTATAGTATTTTGAATGTCATAATGAATGATATCTACATACATACATACATACATACATACATGATGGGAGATGTCATTCTGTATATGTTTCTCATACTGGTTAATAATAAAGCACTGTTGGCCAATAGGAAAGGAAGATAGGAGGGACTAGGAGACAAGGAGGAAATAGGAAGTAGTAAGGAGGAGTCAAGATGGAGAGTCTGGAGAGTGCTGGATGCCAGCCGCCTCCCCGGTAAGAGAAGGCCATGTGAAGATACATAGAAATGGGTTAATAATTAAAGGCAGAGCTAGCCGATAAGTAACAAGTAACCGGGCCAACAGTATTGTATCAAATACAGAGTCTCTGTGTGTTATTTGGGGCTGGTGGCATGGTAGCAGGACAAGACCGGGCAGCAGGCGGAAAAACCATACTCGTTACACATACATACATACATACATATTTATTTATAGTCAGGTTTTTCTCTGTAGTCCTGGCTGCCTTGGAGTTACTCTAGAACTCAGAGATCCCGTCTGCCTCTACTTCCTAAGTGCTAGGATTAAAGGCATGGGACACCAAACTGTTGGCTTATTGTTTACTTTAAATACTCTACTAGGACCAAGAACTAGTTACAAGGCCACAAGTCAACCACTCTAGAAGAGCGCCTGGATCATAAAATTGCCCAGTAACCTAGAGATAGTTTCTGTGTTCTCCTTTGCAGGAGTGGGTCTGAACAGCACTACTCAAAGTGTTCTGAGTCGCCCAATGCAGAGGAAGCTTGTGACTCTAGTCCACTGCCAGCTAGTGGAAGAAGAAGGCAGGATCCGTGCTATGAGGGCTGCTCGATCTTTAGGTGAACGCACAGTTACAGAGCTCATTCTCCAGCACCAAAATCCTCAGCAACTCTCCTCTAATCTCTGGGCAGCCGTCAGAGCTAGGGGCTGCCAGTTCCTTGGACCAGGTATGTAATTAAAATTTGGTTGTTGCTATTGGCTGCCCACCCCACCTTTACAAGGTATTCTAACAGTATAGGACAAAAACAATAAGTAATGTACAAACCCTCATGTTTTGTTAAATTCTGTTATTGAGTACCATTCCATTGATAATCCTGGCTTGATGTTAATTTTTCAGAGAATTCAGATTTTTCTCTCGATAACAAAAGTTTGTTCATTTTGAAATGTTTTCCTCTATATTGATCACTTATCTACTTAATAAAAGATACAATAAGATAGAATTGCCCATAAACCTGGCTTAAAAATATAATTTTAGGTACATTGTATTGCTTGGCTTTTTGTTGTTTTTGTTTGTGTTTGAGACAGTGTTTTGCTGTATAGCTGTGTAGCTATCGTGGAACTCTGTAGATTCAGCTGGCCTCAAGCTGGGATTGAAGATGTGCACCACCATGCCTGGCTCATTGTATTGCTTATTAATTGCATGGTATTGTGTTGCTTTCAAATAATGTTTCAGATAATGGGTTTATGTCATCTTTGCTCATAATACACTTTGATTGTACCATTTTTCCTAGCAATGCAGGAGGAAGCTCTGAAACTTGTCTTGCTGGCTTTGGAAGATGGTTCTGCTTTGTCACGGAAAGTGTTGGTTCTCTTTGTGGTGCAAAGACTGGAGCCTCGTTTTCCTCAAGCCTCTAAAACCAGCATTGGACATGTTGTTCAGCTCCTTTACAGAGCCTCCTGCTTCAAGGTATGAACCTAAACTTGAGTTCAGATTGGGATGCCCTTTCTCCAAACTTAAACATTGAACTTGTACTTTAATAAAAATTTCTGTGCTTTTCAGGAAGTATCAGCATTTTTTCCTTTTTTAAAGAAGGCAGATTGTATGATAGTCTAGTTAAGTCCTATTGTATTTCATTTATTTGGTTTTGGTTTGTCTGTTTGCACTGGTGGGGATTGAACCCAGAGCCTTGCATATAGGTTAGACAAGTATTCTGTTACTGAAACACAGCCCCAACCCTTAAATTTAGATGAAGATCACCTGTTATTTCCCACTGTCTTAGTTAGAATTTCTACTTAGTTAAGGGTTTCTATTACAATGATAACACACAGTGACCAAAAGGAACTTGAAAGTGTTTCATATACTTACATACCACAGTCTTGTCATTTAGGAATTGAAGCAGAGTTCAGGGAGAAGTGCTTGCTGCCTTATAGCACCCAAGACCAGCAGCCCCAGGGGTGACACTGTTCACAGTGAGTTAGGTCCCCCACATCAATCATTGATCAAGAGAATGCACCATAGGTTTGACTACACACCAGTTCTATCTTCCCAAATGACTATCTTGTTGTGTCTAGTTGACATAAATCTGGCCGTCACACCAACCAAGATGGTAAAACTTGTTCCTAGCTGAGCGGTTGTGTCACACACCTTTAATTGTAGCACTCTGGAGGCAGAGGCAGGAAGATCTCTGTGAGTTGGAAGCCAACCTAGTTTACAGAGTGAGGTCAGGACAGCCAGGGGTACAGAGTGAAATCCTATCTCAAAAAAAAAAAAAAAGAAAGAAAAGAAAAGAAACATCTATGGCTAGATGTGGTGTTGCAAGTCTTTAATCCCATCACTTGGGGGAGCAGAGGCAGGTAGATCTTTATGAGTTCCAGGCTAGCCAGAGCTACATAGTGAGAACCTGTGTTGTGTTTTTTGTTTTTTTCTCTTTTGGCTTTTTTGGGGACCCACCACCTAGCTCCCAAATAAATCACACACGGAGTCTTAATGTTACTTGTGAATGTTCAGCCTTAGCTGGCTTGTTGCTAGGCAGCTTTCTTAAATTATCCCATCTATCTTTTACCTCTGGGCCTTTACCTTTTCTGTAAATCTTTTATTTTCACTCTGTGGCTAGATGGGTGGCTGGGTGGCTGACCCCTGACATCCTCCCCGTTTGTTCTCTTGTCCTTCTATTTGTATTCTTTGCCTTCCAGCCCCACCTGTCCTTGCTCCTGCCTCACCATTGGCCATTCAGCTCTTTATTAGACTATCAAGTGTTTTAAACAGGCACAGTAACACAGCCTCACAGAGTTAAACAGATGCACTATAAACAAAAGTCTCACACACTTTAAAATAATACTCTACCACAAACCTGCCTTTAAAAATGGGTAAGATTTTGACTTCTGTAATGGGAGATGTTTTGTAGGCAGGATGGTGTATCTCTAATCTTGCTGTTGCTGCTAAAAGAAAGTTGTTATTTTGAAAATTTTTTTTGCTGGAACAATGACTCAATGGTGATCTTGGGACCCATATACTTAAAAAGAGAACTGATTCCTGGGAGTTATCTTCTGTATTCATGCCACATAACAGTGCGTGTGCATCTCCTACCAAGACATGCAAATCAAATTTTTTTTTAAGTTACAGTTATTTTTGGTCTACATGTGTTTATATAAAGTATGAAACTTGTGTTAGTAGATTTTTATGTGTCTTTTTAGGTCACCAAACGTGATGAAGACTCTTCTTTGATGCAGCTGAAGGAAGAATTTAGGACTTATGAAGCTCTGCGACGAGAACATGACTCCCAGATAGTACAAATTGCTATGGAAGCAGGCTTAAGGATTGCACCAGACCAGTGGTCCTCTTTGCTTTATGGAGACCAGTCTCACAAATCTCATATGCAGTCCATTATTGACAAGGTAGGGTCTTATTATTTATTTACTTTTTCAAGACAGGGTTTCTCTTTGTGGTTTTGGAGTCTATCCTGGCGCTCATTCTGTAGACCAGGCTGGCCTTGATCTCAGAGATCCAACTGCCTCTGCCTCCCAAGTGCTGGGATTAAAGGCACACACCACTGCCTGGCTACAAGGTAGGGCCTTTATTATTCCTTATTTGTTAAATAATTTAGGAGTCTTGGTAAGCTATAACTTTGTGATTTATTTAATCAGTGAATATTAATGTGGGTAGTGTATATTAGGCTTCTGTAAGTGAGATTCACTGTGGCTGAGCATTGTATCACAGCTAGTCTATCACAGTGACAGTTTGTAAACATTAGGTTAGTTTTGCAGTGCTTTAACCAGTGCTCTCTCTCCTATGCCCCTTGTCATTGCCACTCTTCTTTGTTTACTGTTCTCTTTGACTCTCGATTGCTGTAATAGAAAATATTTGTAGGCTTTTATTCTGTGTATATTGCTGTTTGCATACATGTATGTCTGTGCTTCACCTGGTGCCTGGTACTTGAAGAAGCCAGAAGAGGGCTTTGGATTTCCTAGAGTTATAGATAGTTGTGAGCTATCATGTGGGTGCTGGGATCTGAAAGAGCACCCAGTACTTTTAACCACTGAACCTTCTCCCCAGCCCCTAAGCTCTGTTTTCAGATGGCTCTTTAATCTTGCATAGTAGCCTTTTAATCAATGATCTGTTGGATGTATGTTATTCTCACTCAGAATAATTTTATATATCCAGTGAGTTTTATTTTCAATAAACCTTTTTTTATTTTATCTACTATCTGTTTTGATGTAAAAAACCACTATAAGTGACTATTAGATCTAGTTCTGCTATTATATCTAATGCAGAAATGTATATTCCTCTTAAAACCTTACTAATAGTTTTAAAAGAGTTGTTGCATATGAACTTAAAGTGTATGAATGTGTGTCAGGTGGTGGTAGCACACTTCTTTAATCCCAGCTCTCTGGAGACAGAGCCAGGCAGATCTCTGAGTTCGAGACCAGCCTGGTCTACAAGAGCTAGTTCCAGGACAGCCTTCAAAGCCACAGAGAAACCCTGTTTTGAAAATAAACAAACAACAAGATGTATGAATGTGGTATATAAAGTCTTATGTTGTAATATACTAAATAATAGTTTGTAGTTTTGCTATTTTCTTAAATACTTATAATTTCAGAAATGACTTGTCAACTCTAGAGTCCACAGAACATTTAATTTAGAGATAGTGTCAAAATCTAAGTTTTTAAAAAATAATTAGCATTTACCAAGTGCTATGTGCCTGGATGATTTTAATTCATTTCCTTTGAGCAACTTTTTATTATCCCTTGAATATAGAATCAGAGAAGTTTGTACATTTTGCAAATCATCTAGGTTATTGTTATGTTCAATTGCTGCGAAGAGACACCATGGCCATGGCAACTCTTATAAAGGAAAGTATTTAATTGGGACTGATTAACACAAATTAAAAAAACCCTAGAGACAGATATTGTCTCTGAAGATCAGAGAAACAAAACAACCAAGCCAATAACTCTTACCTCTACCAAGATTAAAATGGGTTGTCCTGTTTCCACGAATCCTCCAAGTGCAATGCTCAGAGTTCCTATCTTCTCCTGTCTTATATTCCTTTCTATGCCAGCCATATCACTCCTGTCTCCACATCTCTAGTTCTTGGATTAAAGGCGTGAACTCTGTTACTCTTTAGACTGATTTCAGTCTTGTATAGGCCAGGGTTGCCTTGGACTCAGATCCATCTGCCTCAGTTTCATGAGTTGGGATCCACTGCCTGGCTCTGTGGCAGTGGCTAGCTTTGCATTTTGATCCCCAGTGGCTTTATTAGATCATAAACAATATATCACCACAGGCTGTCTTATAGTTTGAGAGTCTTAGTCCATTTTCCTTATGGTGGGAGCATGGTGGCATACAGGCAGACGTGGTAGCTGAGAGTCTATATCTGACTGTGCAGGCAGCAGGAAGAGAGATAGTCACTGGGCCTGGCTTGGGCTTCTGAAATCCTTTATCTATCTCTAGGGACATACTTCCTTTAACAAGGCCACACCTCCTAATCCCCCATCAAGTGGGGCCATCCCCTAATGGCCAAGTATTTAATTCAAATATGTGAGCCTTAGAGGGCCATTCCTATTGAAACCACCACAGTTAAGAATGTTAAAGGTCATTTGAATCTTGGTGTGCTGGCTTTAGAATATATTCTTGATTATTAGACCTCTGTCCACTTAGACTTTATCTCTTTCCTTGATCCCAAGCGTGACACTTTTTAAATAACAACTTAAGAATATTATATGGGATTTGTTTGGAAGGTAATTCAACAATGGCTGGCTGTGAATGTAAAGTTCAAGCATTCAGTAGTTGCTCAATCCATGAGGCTGAATATCTCAGCTGGCCTTCAGTATAGCTGAAAACCCAAAGAAGTCAGCTCTAATGCCAGTGAAGGAAAGTGAACTTGCTACAAAGGAGAGAGCAAGCAGGCAAAAAGCAAAAACTTCCTCCTTCCATGTCCTTTTATGTAGGCCACCAGCAGAAGGTGTAGCTGAGATTAGAGGTGTGTCTTCCCTCCTCAAAGAGCTGTATTAAAGGTCCAGACTAGAAGTGGATCTTCCTACTTCAAATTAAGCAAAACCCCCTCACAGGTGTGCCCTCCAATTTTGATTTTAGTAGATTCTAGAAATGAGCTTCATACAGTAACAAATATTCTAGAGTAATTTTCTCCTGTCACAATTTGAGTTTCATGCCCAGAGACCACTCTGTAACAAACAAGTAGAATATGTGATAAGTATGAGTGTTTTGTAATTACATAGAGCAATGTCAAGTAGAACTTTCATCACAATGAGAATGTTTACTATGTGTACCTTCCAAAGTGGAGATACTTCATTTTATGGTTTTTAAGAACTTGGTTGTTTTGTGCATTTGTTTCTTAGAGTTGTTTGTAGTGGCATTGTTTTGTGTTTTTGTTTTTCTCAGTTCCAAAGACTGAACCAAAGGCCTCAGGCATACTAGTTCTACACCTCTCTGCTGAGCACTTTGCACCTCTTAAATTACTGTAGCCCAGGGAGACCAGCTCCCAGAATTGCATCAGTGTTGCAGAAAGAATGTCTTTAGAGCAGTGGCACTTAGAAAAACTTCTCTATTTGAGGACTAGACTTTTCTATCTGAGGGTAATAACTTTTTCTTTTACTTCATCTTGAACAATCTCTCTACACAGTTACATCTCTTTACATACAGCTACATCCCCTTTCTCCATACCTGTCTTCTACTCTGTTATATTTCTTCAGATGTCTGCTACATCTCTCTTCTATATCACTCACACACCTACACATTTGTACACATTTCTCTCATACACATTCTCTCATTCACTCACTTATTCACTCACCCCCTCCTGCATCTCTCAAACTTCTCTCTCCATTTCTCACCCTTCTACTACTACAGAAAAGCCTCTGGACAAATATGAATCACACAGCACTTCTTAAGTAAATAATAAGAAACAGAGCCATACTAATCACACAGTTTGTCTCAGGCAAGCGATGTCGTCACACTGACCAGCCAGTGAGTAATGCTTAGCTGTGCACATAGTTCTAAGTGGTCTGGGTTCCCAGACAGAGAAAAACGTTGAAATTCAGAACTTAAACAATAAACAGTTAGTTGGCTGAAACTTGAGGTTAGGAATATATGCCTTACCATGATTCAGCAGCAATAAACACCTGGAAACTTGCATTGTGTATTCGTCTCCAGGGAGAACCAATCTATTTTGAATGTGCGCTAACATCTGAAATCAGCTGAATGTGTAAAAGGCTCTCTTTGTAGCTGAGAACTTTCCCAGTCAGTCTTGAGTAATGGAAAAAAATCATAGCATTCTATCCATCAGAATTATATAGATTAAGCAGAAATAATCTTCCTGACCATCCACAGCTATTATGTGCCCAGTAAATGGAATATTTATATGAAATAAACACACAGGCACATGAGAAAAACTACAGGCAGAAACAGCTAGTCAGTTACAGTCAGTGACCTCACAGCCCTTGCCAAGTGGGACTCCTCATTAGAGACTTATTCATCACGTGGGTTGTCACTTGCTGTATACTCCCCATGGCCTCCAGCATTGAACGGAAACTTTGTTGTTTTTTCATGACAGGATTTCTTTGCTGTGTATCCCTGGCAGTTCTGGAACTAGCATTGTAGACCAGGCTGGGCTTTAATACAGAGATCCACCTGCCTGTAAGGCTGGGGTCAAAGGTGTGCACCACCACTGCTTGGCTTGAACAGATTTGTTGTTGTCGTCGTCGTCGTTGTTTGTTTTAAACATTCTAAAAGCTTTAGAAGGCAGCTTTGGGGCTGTGCAGTTAGACTTTCTGTACACAGAGACCACTGGCCAACTCTCAAATAACCACACATAGACTTGATAGTAATTATAAATGCTCGGTCAATAGCCTAGGCTTGTAACTAGCTCTTACAAACTAAATTAACCCACGTTTCTTATCTAAGTTCATATTTCTTATCTGAGTTCTAATCTAAGTGACTAATGGCTTGCTAACTCATTTTCTATACTTCCTCTTCCTCTTGCTGAGACTCCACCCTCCTCCTCCCCGTCATCCTTCTGTTCTGGCTCTCCTGCCTAATTTCTTCCTGCTCAGTTAAAGGCCAGTCATTACTTTATTAATACAAAGATTGTTCCACAGCATTTTTGGGACCACCAGCTACCCAATAATGGCACAGCTTAGGCTTGTTCCCAACTAGTTCTTATAATTTAAATTAACCTGCTTCTGTTAATCTATATTCTGCCATGTGACTTTTTACCTTTCCTCCATTCTGTATGTTTGTGTGACTCCTTGTTTCTCTGGCATCTCTTACAGGCCTAGATTCATTCCAAGTTCCTCTTTCTGCCTAGAAATCCTGCCTCACCGCTCCTGCCTATTTCTATTTAGCTCTTTATTAAATCAGTCAGGTGCCTTAGACAGGCAGGGTAAAATGGTGACACATCTTTACACTGTTTATTCAGTCTCACAACAGCGTTGTGCCACTGTGTAAAAACCTGTGCTCTTGGGCCTGTTCCTAACATGTAAATAATAAAATCGGCCTTACTGGTGACTAGACAGTCCTTTTGCTCCTATCTCGTTCGTGACAATATCCATAGCACTGCAGCCTTCACTGGTACTGCACCACTCTGGAAAAAAGACAACAGTCCCCTTTTCATCCCTCAAAGCTGTAACAAATCCCTCCTGCTGCCTCCTCTTAGCCAAAGCAGCCAAAGATTAAGAGATTTTGGTTCATAGGTGGCCAGGCCCACAAGTACTTAACACAAGTTGAGCTCCACCTGGCACTTAATCACCTTGACAATGAATGCTGGGTACTGTAAGCCATGTTCCTGGGAGGCAGTTGTAATTCAATTAATCCTCAGGTTCCAATTCTTCAGTCTTCGGGCTTGCATACACTTTGAAAGCTCTGGTCATTGCCCTGGCTGCCAGCCAGTAGCAGTGATTCTTCCTTCTCCTAAAGTGCCAAGCATGTTCAGCACCTCCTGAACATGACGATAATGGTGAAGGCAGTTTTCACAGGCAGAGCTGTGTAAGGAAGACCATGGTGTACTCCCAAGTTCCAAGAGGCTGCCATTTGAACTGAAATTTTTAAGCTAATTAATTTAAGTTTAACCAAACATTAATAAGTCTGTCATTGTAAAGGAAAAATTGAGTTTATTAAAAATAACAATGCAGAGGCAGGCAGATCTCTTGAGTTCAAGGACAGCCAAGGCTACGTATGGGAACTTTGTCTCAAAAACAAGAAAGGCATTAATCATAATATATTAGCATATTTAATTGGTAGGAAAGAATTTAGCCTCAGTGATTAAAGAGTATACATCTAAATCTGGACATAGTGATACACGCTTCATTTCTGCTATGCAGGAAGATCAAGACCACATTCAAAACAGTGATTAAGATACATATACTGATTGAGTTTGTTTATGTTTTTTTAGAGACAGGGTTTCTCTGTGGACCAGGCTGGCCTGGAACTCAGAAATTTGCCTGCCCCTGCTTCCCAAGTGTTGGGGTTAAAGGCATGCTTCACTATGTCTGGCTGATTGAGTTTGAGTTTTATTTATTTTTCTTTCTGTTTTTCGAGACAGGGTTTCTCTGAAGTTTTGGAGCCAATCCTGGGACTAGCTCTTATAGACTAGGTCGGTCTCGAACTCGAAGAGATCCACCTGCCTCTACCTTCTGAGTGCCAAAATTAAAGGCATGCACCATCATCGCCCAGTGACTTTTATTTTTAAAACTATAAGTACATGAAAATATAAAGGCATGCCAGGATTCTAATGATAGTTTAATTCCTTTGTTTTTTGTTTTGTTTTTTAATGTATGCTTTTGAAATGACCTTTTATAGAATGATCTTTTGAGAGAGGAATTAGCTGCCAAAAGAGGTAAATTATAACATGAAAAATTAAAGACCCAGGGACAGTATTGGGGTTCAAGCTTCAAGCTGAAGATCAGAGAAGCAAAACAGCCAAGCCAGTAGATCTTACCTACTAAGCTGAAATGGCAATCCTGTCTCTACATGAATCCTCAGAGGCAAAAGCTGTGAATTCCTATCTCCTCTCCTTATACTCCTTTCTCTTCTCAGCCATATTCTGTCTTTACCTGCCTAGTGCTGGGATTAAAGGCGTGTGATCATAAATGCTATGATCAAAGGTGTGAGCTCTATTACTCTTCACTCTTGTGTAGGTCAGAGTAGCCTTGAACTCAAATCCTTCTGGTCTCCTGAGTCTTGGGATTACAGGTGTGCCACTAATGCCTAGTTTCTACAGCTAACTAGTGTGGCTGGCTTTGCTTTCTAATATTTAAGGCAATCTTTATTAAGTCAAAAATAACATATCCCCATACTAAATGTTTTCAAGTAAGAACTCATAGCACTGATACTAAATCAGCATTTCCCCAATTGAAAGTCCAATATACATGATCAGCAGAAGGGAGTTTGTGTGAGAGTATGTCTCAAAAATTTTAGAGAAATACACAACCTTCAAGAATTCCAAACTAAATCAGATTTTTTTTGAAGTATTTATTCCTTGATCAGTTCATCTTGATCATATCTACTCCAGCTGCCCTACCCCTTCCCCCCAAGACGATGTCTTCTTCATACCTTCATATTTATTCTCTATTTGGCTCCCCCCCACACATACACAATAATGCACCAAGTCTAATTAGTGATACCTGTATACACATGAGCATGGGGTTATATCCACAGGAACATGGGCAACCTACCAGGCCACATCCCTGAAGAAAAATAACCATCTCCAACAGTCATCAACTGTCAAAATCTTGTCAGCTAAGGCGGAGTCTCCTGAGTCCCCCTGACATGCTAGAATGGTGACTAACTTGATCTTTGTGCAGAGAACCATAGCCACCATGAGTTCATGAGCATAACAGCTGTGTCATATCTGGAAGATAGTTCATAGCTCTTCTTCCCATCCTCTAGCTTTTACATTCTTTACACTCCTTCTTTCATATTTCCCCAGTCTTGGTAGTGGTGGTTTGGTAGAGATGTGGTGTTTAGGTCTGAATGGAACTTTTGACCAGTTAGAAGTCTCGTAACTGCTGACCATGCAGAAAGAAGCATCTCTGGTCAAGGTTGAGAAAAGAACTACTGATCTGTAGGTATAAACAAAAATATTAAAGCAGTTTGGTGACATATCCATCTAGCAAAACAGAAGTAGGTTCACCCATGAGCCTGTGACCTCCTTGGCCATGCTTTTTGACAGGTTTACAATACCAGATGTGGAATAGGCTTATTATATTCCAGTTTAAAAGGCCTACTGGTTAACCCATAACCTTCATGCCACATTGCATTGATAGGTACTGGTTCGCATGCAGGGTCCACTGCTGGGTGAGACTATTGTTGATTGTCAACTCCAGCAGCTGGCATAGAGAAGGAGGAAGGAGCCCTATCAGTTCCAGTTTGATTTCTCTATGTCCTGCAATGAAAATATAACAGGATTTTTTTTTTTCAGCTGTCCTAGACATTTGAAATTATTTGGACTATTTAATAGATGAAATTCAGTTGTATGGTTTATACATTTAATGTCCTTATCTTTGGTCTTAAGAACTTTGAACTCATTCAGCATGACTGTGAGTAGTCATTGGCATTATTCTATCATCTGACATTATTTGTAGATTATACTTCCAATTTCAGTATTTGGAATGACTACCAAGAACCCAACTAAAAGGTGGTATCAGAAGAAAGGCCTCACATTTGAAGGATGTGATATCAGAGGAAACATAGTACTGAGCTGTGGGTAGAGAGAAAGATCTTGTTTAGGTAGTAAGTAATTCAGTCTGCCCAAAGGATAAGTTAGGTGCATAAACACAAACTAAGATTAATAAATTGTAGAAATGAAGGTGTAAGTAAACCGTGTTTTAAATGGATTATTGATCTTTTAAATAGGAAATTAATATTTTCCTTTTTCTTTTAAGTTGCAGACCCCTGCCTCTTTTGCACAGAGTGTTCAGGAGCTAACTATTGCTCTCCAGCGGACTGGAGACCCAGCGAACTTGAACCGACTAAGACCCCACTTGGAGCTACTAGCAAACATTGACCCTAGTCCAGGTAAAGGCAAGAGAAATTAATGGACTATTTATGTGTACCTTGGTACTGCTTGGTGATTCTTCAATTATCTTTTGTTATATTCCTCTGGAGTTTTCCAATGTTGTTTTCCCATATATTTTTCAGCTACATTTTAGGTTTTGCCCCAGATAATACCTCCTTTATCTCATTAATTTGCCTCCACAAAAATTCATTCAGTACTTTGTTTTATTGCTTACTTCACTAAGAAAATAGCTGTCCTTCATAATCTTGCCACATGCTGTATTTTATTTAACCTTCTCAAATCTTTGTCACACTTGTTTTCTCAGCTTTCTTTTAGTTGCAGTTCCATTTATTTTCTCATAACAGTTCTTGTTCCACTAATTATTCTCTTTCAAAGCTTTACTTGGCTTTCCTTTCTCACCCCTCCTTGCCCGAAAATGTACCCAATGTATCTCAGCATTTACTTCTATTGCAGAGCTAACATATTACTACTACTACTACTACTACTACTACTACTACTACTACTACTACTACTTACTACTACTACTACTACTATTACTACTACTACTGTTACCTAGTCAATATTTCCAGAGATGACATCAAGTACTTAAACTCCTTCCTATATTTTCAGCATTACCTATGTTGGATGCTTCTTTGACACAGAAAAGCTTCTGCTGCTTTGTTTTTATGCATCAGTCCACCCTACTTCCATCCACAGAAGTGGTGTCTGTACCATTGGAGCTGTTTCCTCCACATTCTTAGCATGAAGTGTTCTCTTTATTTATAAAGTAGATTTCCAGAGAGCTCTTGTCAAGACTGGTGTCATCACTCCAGACCCCTTTCTTTTCCCAAATCTTCCTGATGTCCAACATCATCTTCTCCGTGTTTCAGAGTGAGCTCATCTTTGATGCCCGTTATCCCAGCTGTGTTCTTTTGTCTTGTGTGAATGCTGTTTCACTTGCTCTACAACTCTTTGAAACATAGGGTTGATCTGTCTTCTTTGGTAAGGCCCCTAGGCCAGAAGAAAGCACTGGCTTTCTTGGAGCTGGAGTTGTTGTGAGCTGCCCTCTGGAAAGCAGTGCTTGTTTTTGACTGTTTGGCTGTCTCTTTAGCCCCCACAGCAAGGCTTGTTGCTCTTTGTCTTTGAATCACTTTTCTTGACTTCCGGACCATCCCATTCTTTTAATTTCATTTGTTATTGCCGTCTGATGATTTTACATGTCCATAATCTCTGACCTTTTGAATGTCAATTTATACTCATTCCCAAGATTATCTTATATCTTTAAATGTCATTATGGAACAAATTTGCCACATTTCATCAGTTCTAGGGTCTTTTTAAAATTCATTTTTAGATTTATTTTTATTGTCTGTGTGTTAGGCTTTTGTTTGCATGTGTGACTCTCTTCATGCCTGGTATCTTTGGAGGTCAAAAGTGGGTATCAGAGTTCCTGGAATTGGAGTTAAAGATGGTTGTGAGCCATTGTGCAGTCTGAATTTTTTGTTAGCTTGTCGGTTTGTTTGGTTTGGTTTTTTGTTGTTGATGTTTTTATTTTTGTTTGTTTGTTTTTTATTTTCAAGACAGGGTTTCTTGTTTTTCTGTGGCTTGGGAACCAGACTGGCCTTGAATTCACATAGGTCTGCCTTCCTCTGCCTCCCAAGTGCTGGGGCTAAAGGCATGTGCCACCAATGCCTAGCTTTTTGTTGTTTTAGTTTTTTTCTAAAACTGAATAAAATATATTTATACTTTGTACAGTGGTATACATTCATCTTTTCCCCCAAAATATAGTGGCATGTGTGTTAATTGATGGTCTTTTAGGTCTAAACCCATTTTTCCAGCACTGTGTTATGTGTGTATCCATCTAGTTGCTCTCCCAGTCTAGCAGTCCTCTTGAACGTCTAGTAAACATTTCTGACTTCCTCTGTCCAAATGTGGAGCCTTAATCCCTACCCTCCTAGTGACTACTCCATTCTTCCATTTATTGGTCCAGAATCCTTAGACCCTGTTTCTCCTCTCTCTCTCTCTCTCTCTCTCTCTCTCTCTCTCTCTCTCTCTCTCTCTCTCTCTCTCTCTCTCTCTCTCACACACACACACACACACACACACACACACAATAATTCATTAGCACATTGCCTGGGCTCTTTCAAAATCCAGTGACCTTCTCTACTGTCGCAGCTCTCCATGTGGATATGGACTAATTGCCTATTTTGCATGGCATTTCAATTCTTTGTGCTGTTACTTCTCTGCTCAGAAATTTTATAATATATTTCCTTCACTCAGGATAGAAATTAAAATCTTTTTTTGTGATGTAAGGTGATCCAAGGTGATCTCTCATCATGGTCTTGTCTTCCATTACTTCTAAATTTCTAACCACCGTGGAAGATGCCAATCATAATCCTACACCAAGGTCTTTACACTTTTCTGAATAGAACGTTTCTCCCTTAATAATTTACTGAACATGTTAAAAACCCATCTTTTGGGTCTTTAACTACATCTAACATTTATTTATTTATTTATTTATTTATTTATTTGTTTGTTTATTTATTTTCTATTCTATTTATTTCTGTATTTTTAAAACTTCAGGAGTAGAAACCAGGGCCTTGAAGTATGTTATACAACATTGTACCCCTGTACCATATCCCTCATCTGTATTTTCAGGGAGACCTTCTCTGTCTAAAGTTTACACATACTTGTTCCACTTTTCTTTGCTCTGTTTTTTTTAATTCATCATTATCTAAGTACTTTTATATTTTTATCATCTGTCTTTATTGTCTAGATCTTTACCTCAAGTAATTTATTTTGATTATTATTACCTCTCCAGCAGGTAGAATAATAATACTTCAGATAGGGTTAGTGGTCCAAAAGGTGGTCTTTTTGTGTGATTATTGGCTTTTTTATTTTTATTTTCAAACCTGATTCTCCCTCCCAGAGTTGAAATGCCATATGTGTTTAAAACCCAGTTCAAATGTCACCTACAGTAATCTTATAAAGAATTCATCTATAAAAATGTCTTTTCACTTCCTTTTGTGTGTTTTACATGTACATGTGTGTGTTTGGTGGCAGTTTAAGAGAGAAAGGGTTTATTTTAGCTCACAGCTCAAGGTACAGGCTATTATTGGCAGAGAAATCAAGACTGTGGGAGCTTAAAATAGCTGCTCATACCACATTCACAATCAGAAAAGAGAGAGGGATGAATGAATGCAAACTATTGTTTAGTTTACTTTCTCCATTTTATACAATCCATGATTTGCCCAGGGAATGGTCTTGTCACAATAAAGGTGGGTCTTTTTCTACAACTTTAAGTTAATATAAAATAATCCCTGACAAGCACACCCAGGTGATTCATGGTTCTTTTAAGTTGATACCACTAACCATCTCTGATAATTAAGTGTCTGTAATGATTACTTGATTGATTCAAAGTGCTGATAGTACTTCCTTCATTGGTTTAATATTGATAAAATATTGCATAGATTATAGGTTTCATTTAATTTTTAATTTTATAGATGCACCTCCTCCAACCTGGGAACAGTTAGAAAATGGCCTGGTTGCTGTACGTACAGTAGTACATGGACTAGTTGATTATATTCAGAACCACAGCAAAAAAGGAGCAGACCAGCAGCAGGTAAGGATTGCTGTTTGAAATCTGCAAATAACCCACTCAGGGTAGACCTGGAAACTGGCCAATGTAGGTATAGATACAAAACAGAAAATAATAGTAAATTTTTTTTATTTATTTTTTTACGATCCAATCCCAGTTCCTCCTCCTCCCACTCCTTCCAATACCCCCTCCTCCCATCTGCAGATTCCCCATTTGTCAGATCTGAGTCAGTGGTCTCTCACTGGCTTGGGTCAGCTGATTGTGTAAAATAATGAATATTTTAAGACTGATTGTAGGGACTGGAGAGGGGCTCAGTGGTTAAGAGCACTGGCTGCTTTTCCAGAGAACACAGGTTCAAGTCTCAGCACCCACATGGTGGTTCAGTCTCCTGTAACTCCAGTTCCAGGGGAAACAGATACTCTGTTCTGACCTCTGTGGGTACCAGGCATGCACTGGTGTACAGACATAGATGTAGGCAAAACACCTATACATACAAAATAATTAAAATTTTTTTTCTAAAAGATTCTGTAGAAATTATAAGTTAGCAGGGTTAGCAGTGTGTTAGTTTTGCTTAAGTGATTTTATCTTACAATAATTCTTAATGGTCATTGTTCTGGGATTATTTCACTTCAGATATAGCAATATTTCATGGATAACAGTAGATTCTATGGTAAAGCTTACTCCATTTAAAAATGGTTACTGTCTTCACTTCATAGTGCATTTCAATTTGATAATGTCACTTTTTGGTACCAATGCTATATACCACTAGTACTTATAATACTCATTACATTAGTGTGACAAATTATCTTCTAATTTTAAAAAGCTTTTTATATTTTTTTGTGTATGTGTGTGGACATACATTTGGAGGTGAGAGGACAACCTTGTGGATCCTAGAGATCAAACTTGGGTTTGTAGACTTGGCAGCATCACCCACTGAATGTTCTTGTTGGTCCAGATTTTGTGATTTTTTTTTTTTTTTAGTAGATAGTTATATGTTATATGATAGAATATTAGAAGAATATACATTTTGAAAGTCTTCTTGGTGTTATTTTTTATGAGGCGGTCTCATGTAGTTCACTGTTAATCCCACTGGATGAACGTAAATACCATTAACTAAATTCTTTGATCAAATTATGCAAGCTTTATTTTTTGTCAGACAGGGCTATTTCCCTAAATTGGGGTTTATATTAGCCCCCAAACTGCAAGGCTATGGGTTTTCAGATATTTAGGAACTTAACAGAACATCTCAAAAATTATTTGGCAGCATATCTTATCAGGGTGGAGGTCAGGATATAAGGTGTGTAGGACCTGTCAAATTCCAGAAAATGGGTCAAGACGTGGTCAATCCCAAGTTTTACAAAAACTTGGAATGAACTTATTTTGACCTTGTAACAAGATGGAGTCAATCTGGTCTGTCACTATCTAGCCATGAGCTCACTGTATAGTTGAGAAAGACTGAACTCCTTGATATCCCTGCCTCTATCCCTAAATCCTGGGACTGCTAGTATGTTCCACAATGCCTCATATATACCTTTTAAAGTCTTAAACTCTTTCAAGGATGGAAAAAGAACCTGGAAATTTATTGAGAAAGAAATGTTTAATATTTTATGTGTATGTATATATTTTTCTGTGTATGTATGTGTACCATGTTAGGCCTGGTGCCCTCATAAGTCAGGAGAGGGCATTGGGCCCCCTTGAACTCATTACAAATGGCTTTAAGTGCAGGGAACTGAACTGAACTGAACCCCAGTCCTCTACAAAAGGCTCTTCACCACTGTGTCAGATCTTGCTCATTTATAATTTTTGGTGCCACATGTATTTGAGAATATCAGCATGTTAAAAAAAATGACTTAAAAATTTTTTTCTTTGAGAAGCTTATACAGTGGTGATCATGTTCATTCCCCAGCTCCTCTCCTTAACTCCTCCCAGACTCACCCATACATCCAACTTTAATAACCCATCAGCTGCAATTCGTACTATCTATATACTTCTGAGTGTGAGGCCAGCCCCTGGAGCTTGGTCAACATACTTCAAGTCTTCCTTCAGAAGCCATCCACTGTTGAGACCTCCTCTGTTGGGTTGGGAGCTCATGAGCCTCTTCCTATTCCATGCTAGAATCTGTACTGTCTCTACACAAGTTCATGAATGCTCTGGTCTTGTCATGTACAGTCTTTCTGCCAGATCTATCTATGATGGTCTCAAGCCTTGGTGTAGAGGTGTGTGTGTGTGTGTATGTATGTATGTATATGTGTGTAGTGTGCACATATGACATAAACCTGATTCACTTGTGACTTCACTCTGCTCTGTGAGCAGTTGTGAGTTTCTGTGTTCACCCCCTTCCACTGCACAGAGAAATTTCTCTGATGCAACCTGAGAGCTGCATCAACCCCAGTTCAGGACTGCTCCAACCCTCAGGCTGTATTGTTTTAGTAGAAGCACTTTTATTTTCAATGTGTAAGGGTATTTTGTCTGCGTATACATGTATGTGTTTAGTACCTGTGAAGGCCAGAAGAGGATGCCTAATTTTTAATTCCCTGGAACTAGAGTTCTAGATGGTTGTAAACTGCAATGTGGGGACTGGGAATTGAAGAGCAGCCTTAATTTTGAGCTCTTATACTTTAAAATTTTAAATTTGGACCTGAAAAGATAGATCTCTCCACATTAAGTTCAATACCTGGAACCCAGTAAAAGCGTAAGGAAAGAACCTCCACAAAATTGTCCTCAGACTTCCATTGTACCCCCCCCCACACACACACAAAGAATAAATAATTAAAATTTAGTTTTGAACGCTGAGATCCTCCCCCCTATACTTTTGCTCTGGATAGTTTAGATACATGTGAGAATTAACTTAAATTCTTCTGTGCTGTCAGAGTCCTAACCTTTTAACATAAAATTTATATTTGTTATTGTATGTTTTGTTTTATGTCTGTTTTTGCCTTGGTCTTAGCCTCCACAGCATAGCAAATACAAAACATACATGTGTCGAGATATGAAGCAGAGGGGAGGATGCCCTCGTGGGGCCAGCTGTACATTCGCACACTCACAAGAAGAACTGGAAAAGTAAGTATGAAAACCATGCGATGCATACTTTGGGATAAGGGGATAAGGAATAATTTGTTGGCTTTAAGAAATAAAAAAAAAGAATCATCCATTTCTCTTCGATGCATAAAAAACTTATGAATTAAGTATTATTAAGTGTGTGTGTGTGCGTTGGGTTTTTTTTGTTTGTTTGTTTGTTTGTTTTTGTTTTTTATTTGGGGGTGTGGGAATTGAGACAGGGTATAGCTCTGGAACCTATTCTGGAACTTGCTCTGCAGACCAGGCTGACCTGGAACTTACAAAGATCTGCCTGCCTCTGCTTCCTGAGTGCTGGGATTAAGGTGAATTAAGGATATTTCTTTATATATATATATTGGTTTTATTGCCATTGTTCTATAAATGGGAAGCTATATTTTATCATTAACTAGATATCAAAAGGAGTAATTTTCACACAAAGTTCTAGTACTTTTAAACAATTATAACTGAATTTTACTAAGTGCACAATATATTTTTAGCTGAAACATTTGCTTTTTATGTAGATTTCGTAAAATGAACAAACGTCTGGTTCCCAGAAGACCTCTGAGTGCCTCTTTGGGTCAACTTAATGAGGTGGGCCTGCCTTCAGCACCTATACTTCCCGATGAAAGTGCAGTGGACTTGTCCAGCAGGAAGCCGCCTACACTACCAAATGGGATTGTATCGACAGGGGCCACAGTAACACAGCTGATTCCACGTGGGACAGACCCCAGCTACGATTCTAGTCTGAAGCCAGGGAAGCTGGACCACCTGAGCAGCAGTGCTCCTGGGTCCCCTCCTGACCTGTAAGTCTTCCTTATAAACTGAGTAGAGGGGAAAGAAATGTTCAGTTCTAAAGACAGTACTTATTGGGTTTTGTTGTTTTTTTTCTTCTGTTTTAAGTCTGTCCTTTAACTCACTTCATAGCCAAAAATAACCTTGAAAATCTGATTCTCCTGCTCTCAGCTCCCAGGTACTGACCGGGATTGCAGGCATGCAGTGCCACGCCCAGCTATGTTGTGATGGGGAATGAATCCAACAACTGAGCTGCATCCCGGCCCCAAAATATACATATATTGTTTATCTGTTTTGTTTTTTGAGACGGGGTTTCTCTGTAACTTTGGAAACTGTCTTAGAACTTGCTCAGTTGGCCAGACTGGTCTCAAATTCACTCACTGAGATCTGCCTATCTCTGCCTCCCAAGTGCTGGGATTAAAGGTATTCCTACCACCTCTGGCCCCCCAAAAGTATTTTTTTTGCCTTTGTTGTGTTGCCTTTTACTTCTTTCTCCTACACTGTTATTTTCTTTAAAGGAAGGTTAATTTTGTTTTAATTTGCAGAAGAGATTAACATTCGAATATATCAGTTTTCCAAATACTATTAGTTTTTTTTTATGTGAAACATTTAATTTACATTAAAAGTATATTTTAAAGACTTTAAATTTGTCTTGTATAATTTTGTTTCCTTAGGCTGGAGTCTGCCCCTAAGAGTATTTCTGCCTTACCTGTGAATCCACATCCTGTACCTCCAAGGGGACCAACAGATCTGCCTCCCATGCCTGTCACCAAACCAATTCAGATGGTACCTCGAGGTTCTCAGTTATATCCACCACAACAAGCGGATGTTTATTATCAGGATCCTCGAGGAACTGCCCCAGCATTTGAGCCATCACCTTATCAGCAGGGTAATGTTTTTCATATAAGTCATTCATATTTATCATACAGGTAAAAAGGATAAAGCTATTAGTTTTATAGACTGGATTAACATTTACTGAGTAAGTATATTGAGTAAACCTGACCAAGAATGAAAAAGAAATATGTAGTGAATGCAAACTAAATTTACTGTATGGTTTCTGTCTTAGTTAGGTTATAAACACCATCAAGTTGGGGAGGAAAATATTTATGTGGCTTGTACTTCCATATTGCTGTTTATCACTGAAGGAACTTGGGACAGGAACTCAAATAGAGCAGGATCCTGGAGGCAGGAACTGGTGCAGAGGCCATGGAGGGTGCTGCATACTGGCTTGCTCCCTATGGCTTCTTCAACCTGCTTTTTTATAGAACCCAGGACTATCATCCCCAGGATGGAACCACCCACAATGGGCTGGGCCCTCCCCTATTGATCACTAATTAAGAAAATGCTTTACAGCCAAGCATGGTGGTAATCACAGCACTTACAAGGAAGTGACAGGTAGACCTCTGAGTTTGAGGCCAGCCTGGTTTACAGAGTTTGTTCTGGGACTGCCAAGGTTATTATGCAATAAAACCCTGTCTTGAAAACCCAAAAAGAAAATAAAAAGAAGAAAAATGTTTTACAGTGAGATTTTTATGGAGGCATTTTCTCAATTAAGGTTCCCTCCTTTCAGATCCCTCTAGTTTGTGTGTCAAGTTGCTGTTAAGACTAGCTAGCAGCTTCCTTCCTTTCAGTTATCAGTATTGACCTTGGAATATATCTAAAGTTCTGCATACAAGTCTTTAGAGCAGCAGTTCTCAACCTGTGGTTCATGACTCCTTTGGCAAGCTTCTATCTCCAAAAATGAAGAACTGTATTAAAGGTTTGCAGCATTAGGAAAGTTAAGAACCACTGCTTTTGGGGTTCTGTAGTATAAAGTCAGCTTAATAATAGTAAAGAATAGGTCAGTGTGTTGGTACGTGCCTTTAACCCCAGCACTCGGGTGGGGCAGAGGCAGAAAAGATTAAAGGGAATGATGAAATTTCAAACTAAAATATTGGCTCTGTCATAGACAGGTTTTGTTGTTTTAATGGTAATAAAGTATTTTTCCTGTAGGATTTCATCTTAAGTCACATGTCATCTCTTCATTCAGAACTAGTGAATTTTTACAGTTATTGCTTATTTATTGTTTGGATTCATTCATTTATTTATTTTCTTTGAGGCAGTTGCCTGCAGTGTGTATACCAGGCAGTGGTGGCACACACCTTTTATCCCAGCACTCTGGAGGCAGAGGCAAGAGGCAAGCCTAATCTACAAAGCTACACAGAGAAATCCTGTCTCAGAAAACAAACCAAAAAAAAAAAAAAAAAAAAAAAAAGGAAAGAAAGAAGAATTTCACTGTGGTCCAGACTGGCCTTGAATATGAGGATCCTTTTGCCTCACCCTGCTGAGTGCTAGGATTGCAGGCACCCAGTATATGAATAGATTTTGGTTGATACAACATGACTGATAGAGGTTATGAAAGAATCTGACTTGATTTTTATCTTATGAAAAAGCTGTAGCTGTTCTTATTCAGATAGCCAGTGTGTAGCATTATACTGTATCCAGAAGGGTTCAGTTACCAAAGGCAGAAATCTTTGTAGCTATATTAAACACACAAAGGCTTAGTGGAGAAATGGGTTCCTTCCATATTGATGGAAGTACTAAGGGAGCAAGCTTAAGCTAGGTCTTTAGAAAATGAATCCTAGAAGAGCACTGCTTAGCTGGTGTGGAGAGCAGAAATAAACCTTTGGTCTTAACTGGTGGTTCCAGGTGAGAGTCTGCTGCCACAGTTGTCTCAAGAACTCTAGATCCATAGGAACCACTAGAAGAATAAGAAGTGGGCCTTTTTATTTTTAAATTATTTTGAGTCCAATGCAATGTGTTGAACATACTTCTATCAGTGCTTCACTTTACCATCCTCCTCCCATCCTTTCCTATCCAGCTTTGTGTTTCCCTCTTCACTGTTGATTTTCTTTCCCCATCAAGTTCAGGTTGTGTTGCTGTGCTGCTCAGCTAATTTTGGGAGTAGGACCTGCTTGGTAATAGCCTACCAGGGGTCACATTAAAAGGAAAACAGACTCTCCCTCTCTCAGCAGCTGTCAAATGGTAATAGTTCCTCAGCTAGTGGTAAGATTGCATGTCCACCTTCCCTCCTCTATGCTGGGACTTTTTTTTTTTTTTCTGGCTGGAGCTTGTGTAGGTCTTGTGCAAGCTGTGTTATGAGCAGTAGACCTGTGGCATAGCATATCTAGCACATAATAGAGTTCCTGTAACTCTACAGGAGAGCAGGGCCTGGTAGAGCAGGCCCATTAATTCCAGTTACTGAAGAGCCTGAGGCTTTAGGAGCTCAAGTTCTAGACATGCCTGAGATACAAAGTGACTTTGGTGCTAATCTGGGCAATTTTCAGAAGACCCTATCTCAAAATAAAATATTTTAAAAAGGGCTAAGAATCTAGCCCTCAGTAATAAAGTGCTTGACCAGTAATTATACAGTCTTGAATATAAAAGTCTAAAGATGAAAAACTAAAGTAGAACCTGAGCATCACAATGCTTGTGAAATGTACTTTAAAAAAATTTCTAGGGCTGGAGATGGCTCAGAATTTAAGAGCACTGCCTTCTCTTCCAGAGGTCCTGAGTTCAATTCTCAGCAGCCACGTGGTGTCTCGCAATCATCTATAATGAGATTTGGTGCCCTCTTCTGATATGCAGGCAGAACAGTGTTTACATAATAAATCAGTCTTTTTTTAAAAAATTAAAAAAAAAAATTCCAGTGAATGTATTGCATAAGGACAAACCAAGAAGGAAGGATTAATTTACTATTTTAGATTTTATGTAGATTGCTTTTCCATTTATTTTCAGTAGTTAATTGGAAGAAGAAATGGTTTCTCAGATATTGAATTCAGGGTCTTGCCAGTCCCAAGCAAACACTACCACTGAGCTGGACTCCTGATACTAAGGAATTTTCATAAAGCTAACCTCAGTATACAAGTATTGTAAAAGTTTATAAAGAAATGAGTAAATTATAACCCTTACATGTTTCAATATTTTAAAAGGAAAAATAAAAGCTTATATAGAAAAGCAGATGTGCTCACTATTGTTTTGGGTTCTCTTTTGTATTGTACAGGCATGTACTATCCTCCACCACCATGTGTGTCCCGCTTTGTACGACCTCCACCATCTGCTCCTGAACCTGGTCCTCCATACTTGGATCATTATCCACCCTACCTCCAAGATCGTGTCATAAACTCTCAGTATGGCACACAGCCACAACAGTACCCTCCTATGTACCCACCTCACTATGATGGCCGTCGTGTATACCCTGCTCAGTCTTATACAAGAGAGGAGATTTTCCGGGAAAGCCCTATACCCATTGAGATTCCATCTGCAGCAGTACCATCCTATGTGCCAGAATCCAGAGAACGATACCAACAGGTAGAGGGTTACTATCCAGTGGCTCCTCATCCAGCTCAGATTAGACCTTCATATCCCAGGGTATGCTATATATTTTTTTTAACTTATTAATTTATATTTATGAGCATTCATATTTTGCTATGGTAATAACCTTTTTGCTTCCTTTTTTTAATATGAAAACATCTTTTTTCTGTTTTAAAAAAAAAAAAATGATGTATTTATTATGTATCTAGTGTTCTGCCTACTGGCCAGAAGAGGGGACTGGATCTCAATTATAGATAGTTGTATGAGCCACTATACAGTTGCTGGGAATTGAACTTGGGCCCTCTAAGAAGACCCAGTGCTCTTAACCTCTGGCCACCTCTCCAGCCCTGAAAACATCTATTTCTTAAATAATTTTTAGAAACTTTATTTTTATATATGTATGTATAATTGTATGGTGTGTGTGTGTGTGAGAGAGAGATGGGGAGAGAGAGAGAGGATACAGGTGTATAAGTATGTGTGTCACCACACACTTGGGTCAGTGGACAACTTGGAGTGTAAGTTCTTACTTTCTACCTTGTTTATAGGGTCTCTCTTGTTCTTTCTGCTGCTCAGCATACTCCAGATTAGCTTGTCTACAAGCTTCCAGCTGATTCTTCTGCCTATCCATCCCATGTCACCATAGCAGACTGGGATTACATGTGTGCCCCATCACATCTGCCTCCCTCATGGGTTCTAGAGATCAAACCTGGATTGTTAGGCTTGAACAGCTAGTGCTTTGACCTGTTGGGCCATCTCCCTGGTTCTAAAACATAAATGGAAGCTTCACCAGTCTAAACGTTGTCTAGGTTGGCTAGGAAATTTGGAAGATCTTGAGAGTTTGTTTGGGTTGGCTTTTTTTTTTTTTTTTTTTTTTTTTTTTTTTTTCTTTTTTTCTTTTTTTCTCCTTTAGTATTGATACTTCTGGATGTTAAGATGGGCATATATTCTGCTTCTGATTTAAATACACATACTAAATATTTGGTGGAATTCTTTGTCAATTTTAAATAATCTTTCAATTTTCAGGAGCCTCCTTATAGTCGGCTTCCTCCTCCCCAACCCCATCCTAGTCTGGATGAGCTACATCGTAGACGGAAGGAAATAATGGCCCAACTAGAGGAAAGAAAGGTTATCTCTCCACCTCCTTTTGCGCCTTCACCAACACTGCCTCCTGCGTTCCATCAAGAGGAAGTAAGCATATCATTTTTAATCCGCTTATTTTTACCATTATCATTTTTGTAGCTTGTTAAATTATGAGAAAAATAAATAAACAAAAAAGAAATTATGAGAGCAGAGTGGTTGGTGGTGGTGCACACTTTTAATACCTGGAGGCAGAGGCAGGCAGATCTCTGAGTTTGAGGCCAGCCTGATCTAGAGAATGGTGAGGACTATACAGAGAAACCCTGTCTTGAAAAAAAGAAAGGGAAAGAAGGAAGGAGGAAAAGAGAGAAAGAATGAATCTGTTCCCAAGGAGATATTTATTGTTTCAAAATTATGAGGCTACTTTTCTTTTTTGTTCCAGAGATGATTGTTTAACCCATTTAGAATTGAGTTTTATGTGAAATGTTAGACTCAAGGCCCATTTTTCCTCTGTAGGGGTAGCTCACTGGCCCCATACCATTTAATGATTTGAGCATTCTTTTTTTCTGTGTTCCACAGTCAGCTTTGTCATGATTACTTTATTAGGGCCAGTGTGATGGCACATATCTGTCATTCTAGCATAGGCGAATACTGAAACATAAAGGTAATATGTTTGAGACCAGTCTACAGAGAGAGCAGCTCTGTCTCATTGATCTAATTCTGTCCTTAAACCAGTACTGCATTCATTCATTCATTCATTCATTCATTCATTCATTGTGTTTTGAGGTTGGGGGGAGTGAGTGCATGTGAAGATGAGAGGATGGCTTGTAGAAGTCAGTCCTTTGGTTCCAAGGACATCATCCTGATGTCTTGACTCATTTGTAGGATTTTCAGTATTGAATTCAAAAGTAAGTAAACATGGTGGGAATTGGGGGTGGTTAGTTCAATACTAAAATTATTTGACCAGCATGTGTAAGGCCTGGGGTTCAGTTCCCAGCACCTTTAAAACAAAACAAACCCATAAAGGAATCAACATGTTTATTTTCATAAACATAACTGCTTCAGTTTTTATCAGGATTTATTGACTCTCTGGATGGATCAATTCTGGCCAATATGGTAGTCACTAGCCACCTGTGGTTGTTAAGTCCATACATAATATGTGGCTGATTCAAACTCACATTATGTGCTGAAAACATAAAACATACACCAAGTCTCTGTATACATAAAATACACACTAGATCAGTACCCAAAACAAATCTTGCATTAATTTTTTTGTTTTGTTTTGCTTTTTGAGGTAAGGTCTTACTATATAGACCACTTACATAGCTCAGATTGGCCAGAATTTATAGAGATTCACCTTCCTTTGTGTCCTGAGTGCTTAGATTAACAGCATGACTAAACCTGGCCTTTGTTAATGTTTTTAATATCTTCCTGATAAGTGCCTTAACTGAGGCATCTTGCTAACCCTCACTTTCTGTTTTCTATTGAAAAGAAATAGTCTTTAAGTGTGCACTTGAATGAAATTACCTTTTTTAAAAGAATTAGATTTTTGTTTACCGATTCTTCTATTCAATAGGTTTTCTAAATTTTCTTCTTAAGTATTGGTTGTGTTCACCTCCCTTTTCCTTTTCAGTTTTACACATTTTCTTACCTTGTTGCTGTACAGTATGATAATGAGTAAGAGTGGTAGTAGGTGTTCCTGCCTCTACTCTTTGTGTAGAGAAAGCTTTTGGTGATTATCACTGTGGTTCATCACATTAGTGTTTTTGGTTTAAAAACAATTAAAAAAACTTTTATCAGATTAGAAATCTGTTCCTAACCTAGCAGTAGTGCTGCATGCCTTTAATCCCAGAACTGGGGAGGCAGAGGCAGGCAGATCTCTCTTGAGTTCAAGGCCAACCTGATCTACAGAGCAAGTTTTAAGGACAGGGCTATTACGCAGAAAAATCCTGTCTCAAAAAACCAACAAACAAGAAGTCTCTATTGCCATAATTTTTTAAGTAATTGAGACAGAGATGAAGATGTATTTTAATTCAGTAATAAATCAACAGTGTGGTTTTAAAAAAAATAGGAAAGATGTGCAAATGAGTATAGACAGTAATACTTCAGAGGGGATGCTTGGTTTATGTACCTAATGTAATGCTCAAAGTTATATACCATGACTTTGAGCATTACATTATGTATTTATAAAATAGTGCTCATAGGTTTGGTTTGGTTTGGGGATTTTTGCAACAGAATCTCATACTGTGTTGTGCCTGAACCCCCAAATCACCAAGAGACCCAATCCTATGCAAAAGCAAAAACTCTTTGAGTTAACTCGGTTCCCTGTCCATCCAACACAGGGCGTGAAGCAGGAGGACCTCAAGCAGCCATGGGCTAGGGAATATATTGTCGTAGACCAAGGGGAGTGTCTGGAGCCGGCTAGTTGTATAGCAATACTCTCTGAATTGGTGCACCTCCTGGCTGAGGCAACCTGTCCTGTGTTGATTGGTCAACCTCAGCTGCAGGAAGGTTGCTATGCCTAGAGGCCCTCCCAAGGCGGTAGCCAGGCTCTGCATTCGATTGTTCTTTGTAAAGCACATCCAGAGTCCACCAACTAAATTCTGATTGGTTTCTTGCCACATGGAGGGTATCTAGCTTCTTAGTGACTAGGGCAAGGTCCAGCAAGGTCAGAAGCTCAGCAATTGTTGCTGAGTCTGGGGGCCTTTGTCTTTCTGGATCTTTTCTGAAGCCTGTCATGGCTGCCAAAGCAGGAGCCCTGGATGAGGATCTGGGCCCTTCAACTGTAGCCTGGATTCACTTTAAATTCACTTTGTAGCTCAAGCTGTCCTTACACCTTTACACTTGGGATCTCCTGCTGCAGCCTTTCAAGTGCTGGAGTTACAAGTGTAAATAATTCTACCCAGCAAAACATTGCTAATAGCTGTCATAACTGTGTGTTGTCCTCATTTATCCATTTCTGATGCTAATATTTTTTCATTGCTTAGTCTTGTTAGTAATTTTATCATTTTTGTGTCTTTTTAATTAGACGATTTGAAAATGTAGCTACATTGGTAGAGTATTTGCCAAGCATGCACAGATCTTTGGGTTCAATCCATAACACTTTGTAAATTGGGCAAGGAGACAAGAGGATCTAAAGTTATAGGTCATCCTTGGCTAGATAACAGTTTTGAAGCTATCGTGGGATACATGAAACCTTGTCTCATACTTTATTCATAAGAAGTACAGATTTTTTTTTTTCAAGTCAGTATGTGTAAAGAATATGTTTTATGACAGACGTGGTGGTACATACCTTTAATGCCAGCACTCAGGAGTTAGAGGCAATGGCAATCAGATCTCTGTGAGTTTGAGGCCATCCTGGTCTACAAAGGGATTTCCAGAACAGCTAGGGCTGTTACAAAGAGAAACCCTGTCTCGAAAAACAACAAACAAAATGGTTTACATTTTTTATGTGTGGAATTATGAGTCTAAACAATATTGCTAATGGACAAACCATACATAATAAACAATGAAAGTTGGAAAGTGAAAGCTGGATGTGGTGATATATGCCTGTAATTGCCCTTCAGAAGTTGGAGCAAGAGTATCTGAAAACACTCTGGGCTACATGTAGCAAGATTCCATTTCATAAAATAGTAAAGTGAAGGTTATTGTTTGTATACAGCAAATAGTAACTTCTTTAATGTATGAAGGTAATCTAAGTAGAAGTTCATAGTAACTGTCTCTCCAAAGTGCTGGGATTAATGGCATGCATCACCATGCCTGACTAGTTCTATATTTAAGCTTCCATTTCTGAGCATAAGCAGCCTACGTATAGTTGTACTAAATTCATACATTACAGAAATGCATGACATAGAAAGAATGCTTTCTTCAAACTCCCATTTCCCATAATGACTAATAGTTTTGTTATGTGTTTCAACATTTTTATGTGTATGAACACATTTGGTGTGTGTTTGTCTTTGTGGATTTTTTTTTCTTTTTTGCTTAACTTGGATGTTCATACTGATGTGCACTTACCTTTCTCTTTTGTAGCTGTATGATATATAACATTCAGATGGAAGAGCATACTTTTTAGGTGGTAATATGTTTTAAAAATAGTATATATGAACGGACTTTTAAAATGTTAAGCATTCTAGAATTGTAAATGTTGCAATTTAATTAAAAAAGGGGGGGGGTGTTACTGAATAACCACAGCGCTTCAGTCTTACCCTTTTACTTAATTTAATCAACCACAGTGCCAGAGTACTTTCAAGATAGGAAACCCTGCTACTGAAGAAGCATCAGGAAAGTGTTACTGCATCACCACCCACCTCATAGAACATCTGAGATGCTTACAGTGTTCCTTTTTACCTCAGGTGTTAGTAACTAAGGCCCAGTGGGGACCATCTAGTAAATGTGTGGCATGGTTTATACTTACCTAGATGATGACTTTATCTAAGATAGTAGCTAAAATGCTGAGAAAACCTGTTAGGATCCTACCTTGATTCACTGAAAGATACTGAAATACTAATTTATTTATTTGTTTGTTTGTTTTTACTGCTAATAGCAAATATGAAGTCTACAATAATCCTCACATATTTTCCAGTCTATAAAAAAATCCATTCTGACACTTAATCAAATAACTCATTATATTGCTTCAATTTGTTGTTCTAAAGAATTCCTGCTTTCCCTGTTTTGTTAACTCATAGACCCATTTCCTATTTTCTTTTTTCCCCCCTTTCCATCTATAGTTTTTGGATGAAGAATTCAAGGTAGCTGGAAAGTACAAAGCAAATGATTATAGCCAGTATTCTCCTTGGTCATGTGATACCATCGGCTCCTACATTGGAACCAAAGATGCAAAACCCAAAGATGTTGTGGCAGCAGGGAGTGTGGAAATGATGGTATGTGTAATGGCAAAGCCATAAATATACAAATCTAGATGCATGAATTCTCATCTACTAAAGGCTAGTGACATAATTGAGTTTTGCTTTATTTCATTTAAGTGTAAATTAAGTATATTATTATCTGGACAAAAAAAAAAAAAAAGAGTATCTACTGTATATCATTTTAGGTAGCAATTTCCCAGCAATTGTTCATAACCCAAGTTAAATAATTTTAGACATTTAATCAAGATGCTAGATTTCAGATTGGCGATATGATTCATTGTTAAGAGAGCATACTGCTTTTGCAGAGGACCTGAGGCTTGGTTTTGGTTTATTATCATTCTTTTTTTTTTTTTTTAAAGATCCATTTATTTTTACTTTTATGTGTATGAATGTTTAGCCTACATGCATCTATGTGTACCTTGTGTGTGCCTGTTGGATCCTCTGGAACAGAGATTACAGATGGTTGTGAGCCACCATGAGGGTGCTGGGAATTGAACCCAGGTCCTTTGCAAGTACAACACATGCTCTTGACTGCTGAGCTACTTTTCCAGCCCTTAATTTTATCAACTTATTACTTTATATGTATGAGTGTTTTGTCTGCGTGTATGTCTGTGCATTAGGTGCCTGTCTGGTGCCTAAGACCAGAAAAGGGCATTAGATCTCTTAAAACTGAAGTTACAAACAGTTGTGAGCCAATGTGGGTTGCTAGGAATTGAACTTGCATCCTCTGGAAGAACAGCATTCTTTCTGGCCCCAGATGATCCAGTGTTCTCCTTTAGCCTCTGTTGGTGCACTCAGTGCACATACCCACACATAGATGTACAAAGACTTACAATTAAAATAATCTTCCAGCCATGGTATTTTAAGACTTTAATCTCAGCACCCAGGAGCCAGAGGTTAGTGGGTTTGTGAGTTCAAGGCCAACCTGGTCTACATAGTTTTAGAATAGCCAGAGATGTATAAAGAGACCCTATCTCAAAATATCAAAATAATATTTTTTTTATTTAAAGATTGTGGATTTATTTACCAAGTAAATTTAAAAAAAAAAAAAAAAAAAACCAAAAAACAAAAAAACTCTCTCTCTTTGAGTCTATAATTTGAACAACCAAAATAAGTATTGCTTGGATCAGAAGGTCGGGTGAAACTTTCACAGTTTAAAACTTACTTTTCCTGCTAGTGTAGATGCCATTAAAAGTTTTTTCAAATATGTGAAAGAAGTCATAATCATGATTCTCAAGCATTGGGGTGTGGGCTAGGATACAGCTTAGTGGTAAAGTTAATGTTTGTACATAGTACTGAGGAGTAAAAGGATCTGTCTGTACTTAAAATTGGTTATGTAGGGGCTGGAGAGGTGGCTCAGAGGTTAAGAGCACTGGCTGCTCTTCCAGAGTTCCTCAGTTCAATTCCCAGCAACCACATGATGGCTCGCAACCATTCATAATGAAGTCTGGTGCCTTCTTCTGGCCTACAGGGATGCATGCAGACAGAACACTGTGTGTGTGTGTGTGTGTGTATATATATACACACACACATATATATGTATATGTATGTATATATATATAGTAAATAAATCTTTTTTAAAAATTGGTCATGTATTTCTTATTGTGCTCTAAAAGCAATGTTTTATGACAGCCAAAGATAACTAAAGACTTACTCTTAATAATAAGAGCATCATACTGCTATTAACCTCTCTACAGAGCTAGTGGAATTTATGTTATACAGCATCTCATTTTTGCTTTTCATCAGAATGTGGACAGTAAAGGAATGAGAGACCAGAGATTGGATCTTCAGAGAAGAGCGGTGGAAACTAGTGATGATGACCTCATCCCATTTGGAGACCGACCAACGGTATCTCGGTTTGGTGCCATCTCTCGAACATCCAAAACACTTTATCAGGGTGCTGGCCCAATGCAGGCCATGGCGCCACAGGGAGCACCCACAAAACCTATTAGCATTTCAGGTAAGAATCCCAGAGTATTCATGCCTCTCAGTGTACTTCATCAGCGCTTTTAAGTATCTTAAGGCAGTGGTTTTTAAACTTTTCCCTGTAAGATAGCAATTACACCTCAGGGGATTTTAGGAATATAAACTAAATTAACTGTCTACATATTAAGATTGCCTGAGGGGCTGGAAGTATAGCTCATTTGGTAGAGTCCATGCCTAATATACATGAAACCAGAATCACATAAACCAGGCATTATGGCACATGCCAATAATCCCGGCACTGGGGAAATGGAGGCAGGGTATCAGAATGTTCAAGTTTATCCTTGGGTACATAATGATTTTGAGGCTATTCTGGGATGGAAGCCCTGTCTCAAAAAAAGAAATAAATTGCCTATGGTTTTTATCTTTAGATGACTTCATTGCTTTATTAAAATAATAGCTTTTTGGAGTGTGAGGTGGTGACTGACTGGATAAAGAAGATCTGAGTTTGGATCCACACTACCCATATTAAATTCAGACTTGTGTGGGCATGTGTTAACAATCCCAGTGTTTTGTGAAGGTAACCTGACTTCAACCATCACCTCTACATTCAAACATTCGTGTGCACACACTGAGAGAAAATATATAAAAATTAGGCAGATAACTTCTTGGACAGAGAGATATAAAAGTGCCTTTGCTTTTTCGACTATAGTACCATAGAAGATGAATCAAACTTGTGAATTACATTCTACCATGATAAACTGTTCCTTTACAGATTATAGTCCATATGGAGCTCATGGTGGCTGGGGAGATTCTCCATACTCACCTCATCCAAACATACCTCCTCAGGGACACTTCATCGAGAGGTACAAGTTGTTCTTTTTACTTGTTATAAATACTTTAAAGCCTGCAGCTTTCTTTATTTTTCTAGTAGAAATGATTTCACTTAATAAAACTTCAGAATTTTACCTCAGGCTTTCTTTCTTACCAAAGGGAGAAAATGTCCATGGCAGAAGTGGTCAGTCATGGCAAACCCCTTCTGTCTGCTGAAAGAGAGCAACTACGGCTGGAATTGCAGCAACTGAACCATCAGATCAGCCAGCAGACCCAGCTTCGTGGACTAGAGGTACAGACCTACAGACACTTGTGTGTTGGGAGTTTTGTTGTGAAGTATCATTATGCAGCCCAACTGGCCTTAAACTCCTGATCTTCTTTAGTACTTATGGTGAGGTTACTGGTATTCAGCACTGCAGTTATTTTGTGCTCTAGTTTTGAAAAGTTTCCAAGGATTTTAAATTGGATTTTAAAAACTTTTTTTTTCATTATGTGTATGTGTTTGGTGTGCACGTGAATAGAGGTGTTGGAGGAAGATTCCATCTTGAGTTACAGGTGCTTATAGGCATCCTGACATGGGTGCAGGGAAGAGAACTCAGGCCCTTGACAAGAGCAGTATGTGATCTTAACCAGTCCTCTTAAATAGTAATTTTTGAAGAACAGTACTTAAGCAGGTACTTTGCTTAAGTGTTAGTATAGATATCTATTCTCAAGGAATTCATAAATAGATTTAGTTCTTGACTAATAGAAAAAGAATAATTATCTGAGATTAGTTCAGGGGAAAAAAGACAACAATCCTTACCATCATCAAAGGTTTTTGTTTGTTTGTTGTTTTTATTTTATGTGTATTGGTGTTTTGCCTGCATGTATGTCTGTGAGAGTGTCAAGTCCCCTGGAACTGGAGCCACTAATAGTTTAAGTGCTGGGAATTGAACTTGGGTCCTCTGGAAGAGCAGCTGGTGCTTTTAACCATTAAGCTATCTCTCCGGCCTCCCATCATTGAGTTTTAATAGAAAACAATTACAGGATTTATATCAGGGAAAAATAACAAGAAAAATATATAGATATAATTGACTTCTCTTTGAAATAAGGGAAAAAATTAACAGTATTTTTGATCTTCGATAGGTGACTACTGTTCATTTGGGGATTTTGGTTTTGTTTTTTTGTTTGTTTTGGGGGGGTTGTTTGTTTGTTTGAGACAGGGTTTCTCTGTGTAGCTTTGGATCCTGTCCTGGAACTTGCTCTGTAGACCTGGCTGGCCTGAAACTCACAGAGCTCCACCTGCCTCTGCCTCCTGAGTGCTGGGATTAAAGGTGTGAGCTACCACCACGTACTGTTGTTGCAGAGGATCCAAGTTTGGCTCCTGTTTCACAATTGCCTGTAACTCCAGTTCCTGGAGATCTAGCACCCTCTTTGGGCATCTATAGACACCTGCATTTAAGTACACACACACATTTTTTTTTTTTTTTTTTTAAAGATTTATTTATTTATTATGTATACAGTCCTGCATGCATGTATGCCTGCACACCAGAAGAGGGCACCAGATCTCATTATAGATGGTTGTGAGCCACCATGTGGTTGCTGGGAATTGAATTAAGGACCTCTAGAAGAGCAGCCAGTGCTCTTAACCTCTGAGCCATTTCTTCGGTCCCACACATACATTTTTAAAAATAAAACCATTTTTATTCAAATGCTACTAATAAAGAGCTTGTGTTTGTAGTAGGATCATTTTATTGCAAACATGTGACTGGTTTAATGTGAATACTTATTCTCTATATGTTGTGAAGTGTGCTGAGTTGTGTGTGTGCTTGGTTTTGTGCACTAGGCTGTTAATAACCGACTGGTGTTACAGAGGGAGGTGAACACCCTGGCAGGCCAGCCACAGCCCCCTCCACTGCCTCCAAAATGGCCTGGAATGATCTCCAGTGAGCAGCTAAGCTTGGAACTACATCAGGTGGAAAGGGAAATTGGCAAGAGAACCCGGGAATTGAGTATGGTGAGTGCTGATGCTGGGGAGAAAGGGGAGGAAGGTGAAATGAATTCTGTGTAGCTCTAATTTAGAATCATCTGGAGTTTGTTCCTGAAGAATAACTAATATTTGGGGGTAGTTTTCATAAAGCTGCATTGTTACCAGGTTGTATAATCCCTCTCTTAGTTCTTGTTGTTTTGGGTTTGTCCTTTTCCATAGACTTGATTCTCTGTTCACATTTGAGGCAAACAGATAATTGGAAATATTAAAGTGTCTGTTTAGCATATGCATATGTGAAGCAGATGGGATGATGATTAATCTTTTGCACTTCCATATAACATTAATATATATTTATATGCTGGGTGGTGGTATGGTGCACCTTTGATCCCAGCATTTGGGTGGCAGAGGCTGGTGAATCTCTATAAGTTTGAGGCCAGCCTCATCTAGTTCCAGGATAGCCAAGCGCCAAGGCTATACATAGAAACCCAAGATACATTTATACAATAAAATGCTACTTGTCATGGCCTGTAAGGCATTGATGACCTATTTTTTATAAAGGAGTTATAGCTTATACACTGTTCTCTGTGCTGATTTTTCAGTGTTTGTGGCATTTTCCTAAGATAGTGATAAGATAGGTTGTACTGTTAATGTATACGCTCTGTCATCTCCCTGTTTGTTTTGTTTGTTAATTCTTAATAAAACTAGGATTTTTTTTTTTTAAATTATCTGTATTTGCTCTGTCCCTTTAAACCACAGATTACTGACTTTATTTCTTCTTTTAAAGGAGAACCAGTGTTCGATGGACATGAAAAGCAAACTGGGTACAAGTAAGCAAGCAGAAAATGGGCAGCCAGACCCACAAAACAAAGTCCCAGCTGAAGACCTTACATTGACATTCAGGTAACGGGTTACTTCTATAGTCCTATTAACCATATATGAAAGAGAAATAATTATATTATCTGGCCATACCCAATACCTTATGATTTTCAAAAGAACTATTTTTTTGTGTGTAGTGAAAAACGAATGTGAATGTTTTGTTTTCTTGGAGACAGGGCTTCTCTGTGTAGCTTTAACTATCTTGGAACGCACTCTGTAGGTCAGGGTAGTGTCCAACTCACAGAGATCCACCTGCCTCTGCCTTCTGAGTGGTGAGAGTAAAGGCGTGTGCCACCACCACTGTCCCGTAGAAGAAAAAAATATCTTTCTACTAAATGTAGAAATGATAAAGCTTACCTCAGGAGCTGGGGTAGAATGTAATCATGGACACTGGAGAGGCTACGTACGGTAGGAAGATAGGGATTGTAGGCTATTCTGGACTCTAGCATGAGACCATTTCAACATATGTATGTGCAAGACTTAACACTTAACCAGGGATGAATTATCTGTTAATTCCTGACAAATATATTTTCTGGTTACATTTCCTTCTTCTTGTTTAAGTGTAGCTTTTGAATTAAAAAACATAATATAGGCTCACTATAAAATTGAAATTTAATAAATGATTAAAAGCTTACCCATACCCAACTTTGGTTTTTGTTGTTTTGGTTTTTTGGGAGTTTTTTGCCCCTCCCCCTCAAGATAGGGTTTCTCTATAGCTCTGAAGTCTGTCTTGGAACTCTCTTTGAAGACCAAGCTGGCCTGCAACTCAAGAGATCCGCCTGCCTCTGCCTCCTAAGTGCTGGGACTAAGAGGTATGCATCACCGCTGCCCAACCCACCTTATTGTTACATTTTTATTGCTTTTATTTTATTTTCATGATAGGTGCTGAACTCAGAGCCTCACACAAACTAAGCACACTTCATCACTGAGCTGTGTTCCGGGGACTCCTCCCCATTTCACTTATGTCACAAAAAAATTAGTCACAGGTGACAGAATATTTTAAAAGATACAAGTTTTTTAAAGCACCCATAATTCTACCTCCCATCATTATCTTGCCTATTTTTTAATGACATTTAGCATTTAGCCTTGCTTTATGTTCTGGGTAGAGTCAGTTTTGGGGTGGGGGGGGGATTGGCTTTGTTTTGTTTTGGTCTTTTGAGACAGGGTAGGATCAAAGGCATGCACCACCGTCCCCTAGGCCATTCCCAGCCACATCTTTAATTTGATTTCTCATAACATGCTAATTAATTTACTTTTTTTTTCTTATTTTCTTTGGCATCTTTGAGGCATTTGAATGTATAATCCTATGTTGCCCTCCTCATGACCTATAACCCAAATTTCTAATGTTACCGAGTGTGGTGGCATTTGCCTTTAATCCTGGCATTCACTGTGTAAGTTTTAGGCCAGCCTGCTTTACATAACAAGTTCCAAGATAGTGAGGGTTATGTAGAAAGACCCTGTCTCAAAACCAAAACAAAAATAATAAAACAAACACAAAGAATTTCTAATTGCCCTTTTGCTTTCTTCTTGGGTTTTGGCTATTTTAAATCCATATGCTGTCCCAAGTTTAGAATAAATTCCCATGCAAATAAATTTGATAAGTCAGAGGTTAGCATTTTTTTTTTTTTATTTTTCAAATACTAGCCAGCAATTATTTTATGGGTCTTGGTGTTGGAGGTTAGGGGGTGAGGGCTCTCTCACCACCTACCCCTGCCTACCAAGAGCTGGGAATCACCATGCCTGTTTGTTGTAGCTCAGTCCTCTAATGTGTAAGTGGCAGTAGAGACATAAGCAAATAGGCTAGGCAGGTTGTGTTCTAACAAACTTGTATTTCGAGAACTAAATTTCTAGAACTTACCAGCTTTAGTTACAATGTGTATGAGGAGTTATAATAAAAATCTGGAAGCTATGTACAGCTTTTTTGTTTGGGTTTGTTTGAGGTGGAGTCTCTTTGTGTAGCCTTAGTTGCCTGGAGTTAATAAAAATCAGCCTGCTCCTGGCTCCTGCTTAGACTAAAGGCACATGCCACCATTCTTGACTCATATTTTCCTACAGTGCTAAATGATAAGCCTTTTCTCCTTTTAAAAATTCCAACCTTTTTCATGTGATTAACAGTGATGTACCGAATGGATCAGCTTTGACACAAGAGAATCTCAGCCTCCTATCAAACAAGACCAGCTCTTTGAACCTGTCAGAAGACCCCGAGGGAGGAGGAGATAACAATGATTCTCAGAGACCAGGAGTTACTTCCAGTTCTGCTCCCTAGAATATGGGGGACCCTGCTTCTACCTTCTGCTCCTTATCAATTCGTAGGACATAGGGATAGAAGAATGGATAACTTCTAAACTTTTTCTCTGAGTGGTCAGTGAAATCCAGGAAAAACAGCATCGGAGGCAATGTGCACAAATACCACTACTAAACAAACCCTGCACATAGTTCACATTAATGCATTTTTTTAATTTAAAGAAAAAGAAAATTAGCAGTATCTGCAAGCAATTCAGATTAAATTTGTTTTTGTTCTGTGAATGAACTTTATTTTAATAACTTTGGACGCCTTGGATCCAGGGCTTTAAAAGAAAAAGATATTATATATACACTCTGTTTGATTAATTGTATGATCTTAATGAAGTAGGTTTTTCCTTGTATTTTGGTATTATTACATACCCAGTGTATAATTCCTTTCTCTCCCAGTCCTTTCCAATTCTCTCAACCCTGCATACTGAAAGCACTGTTTCCAAGAATTCTGTGATATTATATTGGGTTATTAGAAACTGTGCAGCAAACTAATTTTATTATAGCCATTGTTCAGCCAACACACACCCACACTATTCTGGATCACTAGCTTTGTGACTTCTCTTACAACATTCAAACTTTATTTAAGTAGGATAGGGTTTTAGTTTCAACTTTTCAGAGATTTCAATAGGTAGTTGATTGTTAGACCATGTTAAGGGTTCCTTGCATTTTCTCCATAAAATCTGAAAACCTATTTGGTGTTTACATTGCTCAGTTAAATTAAATGAAGAGTACCTTAAGAATGAGCTCTAAACTGGACATGGTGGCTCATTCCCATACTCCCAGGACTCAGTATGCTGAGGTAGGAGAAAACCAAAATAAAAAGAAGAAAAGAAATGAGCTTCAACTTGTTATTAGTGAAAACAGACAGTTCTAGTCTCCTGTGCTGAGCTGTGTTTACAAATTAAACTTTTATGGAAATCCTAGAATGCTCAAAAAAATCAGGACAGTGAACCATGTTCTAAAACTTGGAGAGATGGCTTGGCAGAGACTGGCTTCTCTCCCAGAGGACCCAGGTTCTTCCCAGCACCCACAGGTGGCTCACAAGTGCCAGTAACTAAATCTGGTTCCAAGGGATCTGACACTCTTCTGGCCTTGTGGCACCAGCACACATGGGTGCATGTGCATACACACATAAAAAAATATAATGTTAAGATCAAAATAAAGCTTAACACTTGATATGAACTTAAATAAACGGGGACACGTTATTTCAATGGAATGTTTGTTTTTTCCTCTCAAAAGCATAAAAGATTTAGCAGAACTGAGCTTGAAGATAGTTTATGCATTGATTACTTGTGCTGCTAGAGTTACTAGCATAACTAAATAATTGGGTTTTTAGACTTGGCTTTTTGACATTAACGTTTATGACGACATTGTGAAAGAGTAAGGAGGATTTTTACTTAGTTCTGCTGCACATATTCTAATGCTACCACTGTACACTTAGTTTACCATGCCCCTGTAAAAATGAGTTCATTGGGGACTATTTCATAGAGTCACTGCATCCCTTGCATTGCCTGACATCCAGTTTCCCTTTCTAGACAATACTACTAAACAAGAAAGCACTGGTTATGTAATAAGTTATTGCATTGCTTTGGTTGGGTAAAAGCAAAAGTTTATATTTTTCTTACTTCTTATATTCCTACCCGTTAACTCCTGCTGAGGTCAGAGCTACCTCAGTCTACGCTCTGTGTCTGTCATGTTGTTAATGGAAACAAGTGGGTGGGGGTGGGGTGGGGTGGGAAGGGTAAAATAGTCCTGCCATTGCCTACCAGTAGGAAATCCAAACAGAACACTCATTTGAGTAGCGATTATTTAATTTGCCCAGTCAAGGCACCGTGTTTATATACTATTTCACATTGAATTTGATTATGCCCTACAGACCTGGCTGGTCAAGGATTTGATATACACATATTGGCTTGGGATTCGAGCTTTCTTTTTTATTTAAATAAAAATTTATATATATATATTATATATATACATATATACATGGCTATATCTGTATATATATTGGGTATGTTTTAAAGATGTCTTCGCATGAGCGCAACTGTTGCAATAAAATGACCGATTGGGAGGTAGAAGCACTGAATGACGGTGAGGCGTTTTCAGTTGATGCATACATTTTCCTTTTCATTTTAAATATACATTTGTACATTTGCTTTCTTGGCCTTTTTTGTTTTTTAAGATAAAACATCTCTTACATGTATACTTTAAATACTCATTATTTATTGAGAGAAGGAAAGAATGTTATGTCTGACAGGATTTTTTTTCTGCACATCTACAAAATGTTACATTATTGGCCTCTTGCCTTTGGTAGACAGATTTGAGCAGATCTTATCTCCTTTGGCCATGTCAGATAATTCTAAGTCTTAGAAGCAGGTGGTTTGTTTTGGAAATTGGAATGACTAGGGGGTAAAATCTTCATATTGCTTTTGTTAGAGTTAAGGATAAGTAATGTCCCTTGCAGTATATGTGAAATCCCCAGAATGCACTCTGCTGTGGTGTGCTAGTAACCCTTCATAAGCTATTTTCATTTAGGGAAAAAATTAGTCTCATAAATGGTAGCCTGAGTTCCCCAAGCCCCAGTCTGTAAAGCCAGTCTGGGTGGGGTAGAAAGTGGGAAATGCTGTGCCTGTAGTTTTGCTATTTTATTAATTGGTTATTTCCCTTACCAGTACTTAGGTGTGTTTTGTGTGATGTGGAAGTTGTTTGTGCCCACTGTCAGATTTAGGGATTTGATTTAAACACACACACACACACACACACACACACACACACACAACTTTGAGGATGTTTTCGCCCTTTAACAAATTTTATGTTATGAGGCAACAATAAATTGAAGCATAACTTCACAACTCTTAACTGCTGTTTTTGTCAGAATCTGAATTTTATTTGTGTCTTTATAGACATTAAAAAATGAAACTCATCAGATAGGAAACAAAACTTTACAGTAGCACCACCCTTTTTTGAGACAGAGTTTTTACCGTGTAGCCCAAGCTGGTTCTGAACTCAAGATCCTTCAGCCTCCTGAGCGATGGGATTTCATGCATGTGCCACCATGCTCAGCAATATGTACGTTTTTTCACTTAAATGGTTTCTTCTGAAGATGACTATTTTCTTTTCACTCTGTTTAAGAGCAAGAATCATCTAAGATGAACACGGAAAATTCTGGAAGGGTTAAGGACCGTGTTCATACTTGTTCAGAAATGAAGGCAGTGTGTTACTGTGGTGAATATATAAAAATACTGTGGCTCATTCTGTTTTCAGTGAGTCTCTGGGAAAATGATAAAGGAACTGAGAATGAAATGTTTAGACTTATCTCCTAATTGAAGTCACAAGATAAGGCTAATAGCTGTCCTTTCCCAGATAACTTAGAGTCTGATGTGACCAAAGAGCTATTATTCCTTACTACTTTTTTAAACAGAACTTGTAGCATAGGTTTCTCATAGTAATGTTTAAGTGACAAGACACTATTATTAATGTCAATTACAAATATTCAACTACTCAGAATGTGTAAGAAATCATTTGGTACGGCATTAATGTGGGTTATTCCCTTCTCTCGTTTTCCTTCCTTCTGTTCTCCCCCACCCCCATGTATTTATTCTTTTGCCTAAAAGCAGAAGATTGATTTGGTTCTCACTGTTACTTGGATACATGATCCCACTAGACTCCCATGATCTTAAGTGTGGGAGCTTAAAATTTAGTTCCTAAGTTTCCCATGATTGTCTTTTTTTCTTTTCTTCCTGACCCCTTACCATTCTGCAGTTTCCCCTTGACTTACCCAATCTGTAACAGTGACAGTTTGCTGCCTCTAAACAGAGCATTCAAATGAATTCGCTTAGCCAATGACTTCTGTGAAGTTGCCTTTTCTAATGGCGTTATTACTCAGTGATGCACAGATGTGGTATTTGCCCTACTGGCAGGCAAGCAAAGGTCTGGTAAAGAATGATAACCTGCTATTTCTTTAAGGAGCGCCAAAGACTTGTGCTTTACTCTGTTTTGGTTTTAGGGGAAATAGTAGCCATTTTGATTATGAAACCTGGTAGTATTTGTAAGTTGATTGTACTATGTAGATGTCTGAAGTTAACTGTAAGGTTAGCTGGCCTTATAAAATGTAATGAAAATTCGTCAGTTTCTCTAAATCAGTTAATATCATCCTTGACAATATTTGTTTAAGCAACTCACTCTCCCTTTTGGGGATTATCTTGATGTAATAGTATCTTCTGTGTGTCTCTGTATTTTCACGTGTGCCTACAGGACAGTGTACTTTCACTATGGTCAAGTCATGGGGCTAGGGATTCTACCTGAGTTTGAGGCTTGTAAGAAATAATTAACTGTAGTTAATATCTGTTCAGCTATGTTCAGGAACAGCTTACTTTCAGTAAATGGAATTCATGTCCTTTTATATGTACAAATGGTGATAGAATGAAATTTCTCCATATTCTCCATTTGGGCTTTTAAAAATCAAGAGTTAAATATGTAAAATCTTTGTGTAAAAAACATCTGTAATGATTTATCTTCTAACGGCTTAATTTTAGTTTTAAGGAGAAATTAATGACCAAGCAAATAAACTGTGGTATTATACTATACACTCTTGCCCCACAAAATGTTCAAGTGTGTTAAAACCTTAATTGTTAATTCATGTTTGTAGTATCTCATTCCCTGAGTTCAGATTAACCAACTTCACTGAGACAAATTCCTCTCCACCATAGAGTTGAACACGCAGTCTACTACTGTGACCTTTGTATCTGCATGCTTGCTGTGCAGAAACACATCCAGGTCTCCCTTGGACAGCTAAGGCTTTTGTATGTATTTCTTCAGCTCAGCTTTTTAAAACTAACTGCTGAAATGATTTGCTGGGAGTTTTTTGGTAAATTTTAAGTTCTCAATCAACTTTCTGAGCCACTTCAGAGAGAGCTGTTTTGGTTTTTGTTTTTTTCAAAAGGTGTAATTTTAAATAAAACCTTTTTGTTACTTGAATTTTAAGATTCTATTTCTGTTATAGTTAAAGGTGTTTTCATAAGTAACGTATTTTAATTGATTAGTAATACTAGTTACATTAATAAAGAAGAGGAAACTGCCACCCCAGGAGTAAGTACCACCTTCTAATAGGTATGTTCTCTGTAGGTAGGTTTTCAATGCTACACTGAATAAACTGGGTAAAGAACCCTTGAAACCCCATCCCTTAGCACTGGGATAGTTCTTAGAGCCTCTGGATTTCAGACACTGAATTTCCCCGAACTTAACCTTGAGCAAAATAGCTTTATTTTCACAAGAAAGTAAGTTGTTGTAATGCAAGGTGAAAAACTTAAACCTTAAGACAATACTGTGTCAAAAAAAAAAAAAAAATGTGTATTTAGAATAATGAAATCCTGTGGAGTTTGTTATCCTGATGTATGTTATGTAGTAGATAATATGACCTTATTTTGTATTGAAGACTCACTTTCTGGTGACTCTTCATTTGGTTTTGTGTTTTGTCTTTTTAACACTAAGTAGGCAGATCACAAGTCTTTGGCTCCCATGTTAGGTTGTGCACTGAGTCATCTGAGAACTGGAAACTGTCAGGTGGTCCCCCCTGTGAAGGCATGAAAGGTCAAGAAATGGAAGCAGACAAACATTGGGTGGATAATGGTCTGGGTTTTTTGTTTGTTTTTGGTTTTCTTTTTTAAATTGTCATTTCTATAATTTATTGGTGCAGCCTGTCTCTGTTGATTGGCTGGCATTTCACAGTAATATCCAAACAACCCCATAACATTTTATTTCCCTATTTACAGGCCTTTAAAGCTTTTGCTTTTCAGCTCTGCATTCCCTGTTTAGCTAAGATAGTCCTGAGAGATTTTCCCACTTGCGTGTTTTTGCCTAACTCTCCACTCACCTTTGTTTTCCCACTTTCTGGATGTAAAAGAACTGAAAGAAAAAAATGCATTCACTGGTCATGGGCCTCAGTATCTTCATTTGTAATGAATTTGTGACTTTCCAGGAGTAATCTAGAAAGTGAATGAACTGAGGTTGTGAACGAACCTTTCACCCACCTAAACATTTCCAGTTGTGAGATTCCTCTTTGTGCATGGTCTTTCCCTTCTGACCCTGCTGGGTCTTCCCTGACTATGGTTAATCAGCCTCTTGGCTCATGCCAGTCTCCTGAGACATTTTGCAGTCATTATCACCTTTTTGGGTGGATTTTACTTCTTTTTGTTGTTGTTGTTTTTAAAAAATAACTTTAACATTGATTCATATTTGCTTGGGATAGAGCTTGTGTAATTTGCCAATCGTATTGATTGTATGTGATTGTGCCCTGCAGAGGTATACTTAACAAAAGTAATCTAAGTTAATAAAGGAGCCCATGAGATTTGAGTCAGAATAGAAATGACTTTATGAAATTGCAGTTTTGGATAGTGTGAATTCCCTTCTCAAAATCACTAATGATATGTAAATACCCATTTTAAGTCTTTTTTGTATTCCTATATTTTTCATTGCCTCGCCTCCCTATTCTTTTCATGTCATTCTCTACCCACCTGCTCAGATTTTTTTTTTTCTAATTGAGCCTTAACGTAACAGCTGACTTTTAAATTAGTGAGCTTCGTGAATTTTCACATTTTCCAAATATTTTCAATTCTGAACAAAAGATGGATTGAAATTCACCAACCCAGGACTAACTCCTTAGCCTCTGGCCAATGCTGAGATTTTATTTAGAGGCATTATCTTCTGCAAGTTCTTTTTGAATAAGGGGAAAAAAAAAAAAAAGAACCTTGCTTGAAATGGAATATCCCCTTTATTCCCTTTCTTGTTTAATCTGTTTAATATTTCCATCTTTTAAAAACAGCCTTCAAAACAAATGAGGTGAGAGAAAAGAACTAGGAGTATGTTTTAGGACTACTGAGTTCTGGATCTGAATGAGTACGTGTCCACTTGTTCATATTTTTGAGAAGATTAAGGCCTTCTTTCTCAATTTTATATTACTTGTGTGCATGTTGTTTATATAAAGATGCCACATTTTGTTAAAATGCCATTTCCTTTATTACCTTGGAAACTGACTCAGCCTCTTGTTGCTCCTAATTAGGGTTTAAGGCTCTTGTGAGTTGCAGATAAAAGCATTCATTTTAACAAAAAGAAGGAGGTGATTCACCTTTTGGATTGTAAATATATGAAAGTGTCTATAAGGTCTTTATCTGCTTTCTGTCAGCATTTATATTAAATGATAAATTAATGAGGAGGAATAATGTGTAGTCTTTTTCTTGTAAAGGAGCCTGTCATCTCACTCTCATCTTGGGTATTATTGATGAAAATTTTAAAAAGTTAATCTGTTTAAGTACAAATACTGAGGGTCATCCGTTTTCTCTAACATGGGAATTAGTGTGTACACACTTCAGAGAGAGGTTTGGTTCTGAGATCACTCGCGCCAATATTCACTAAGCTGTCATGGCTTAACTTCAAATCAAGACAAGAACATCTAACAGTTTAGTGATATGAAAGGAGGTGACTGGCTGGAGGAGATAGCTCAGTAGTTGAAAGTGCTGACTGCTTTCCCAGAGAACCAGAGTTCCTAGCACCTACATCAGGCAGCTCAGGTCCTACTTATAATTCTAGTTCAAACACTGGCTTTCTGTCCTCATGCACACATTTTAGTAATTGCACATTTCAAAACATTTGTGAAATAAATGTAATAGGTAATGGGGGATGTCCTTCTGTATATATGTTTCTCTTATTGGTTGATGAATAAAACACTGGCCAATAGAGTCAGGAAGATAGGCGGGGCTGTAAGAAAAGGAGAATTCTGGGAAAGGTAGGCAGAGGCAGACTGCAAGGGAACTCCATGTAGATCACAAAGGAATAACAGGTCTGGCATTCTCCAGTAAGCCAAGACCACGTGGAAATACATAGATTTATAGAAATGGGTTAATAATTAAGACCTAGCTAGCCAATAAGCCCTAGCCATTGGCCAACAGTTTTTATAACTAATGTAGCATCTGTGTGCTTATTTGGGGCTGAAGGGCAACAGGACCAAGCTTGGAAGAAAAACTCCAGCAACAACTAGGTTCTACTATTTAGTAGATACATTTATATAATTAGGAATGTCTATGGGTTGGATATATTAGATGGTAAGGCTGAGGGGATGTCTTTGTTCAGCTGATAGTAACAACACAATGTTTTTTTAAAAGGTTTTCATTTTATGTGTGCTAGTGTTTTGCTTATATGGATGTCTGTATACCATATGCATGCAGTGCCTGTGGAGGCCAAAAGAGGGAGCCAGTGAGCCACTGAGTGCAGAGGCTAGGGCCCAGGTCCTCTGGAAGAATAGCATGTGCTCTTAGCCTCTGAGCTGTCTTCCCAGCCCTCCTATTTTTTAAAGATGCATAAATTGATCTTGTTTGGAATTTACTTTAAAATACTTCCTAATGAAATTAATAGGCATCACCAGAAATAAAGGTGTTGTAACACCTCCTGTCAACAATTACTAAATTGGGAACCACTGGTATCCTCCTCAACAGGAAGAACCATAAAAGAGTTCAGAAGGAATAAGATAGTAAGTGCTGGAACATCCTTGAGAGATGAGCTCTAGAGACCAAAACCAAGCCTGTCAGCCACTTACTAGTCCTGCCCTGCTTATAATATAAGCAGGAAGGAACTATCTGACCTATTGGGCTGAAACTCTAAAGTGAATTTGTTTTGTGTACATACATGTTTTATCTCAGTGACTAGCTAACATGATGGTTAGCTAGTTAAATCATACTTTCCAACCTGCTTGGCTATTAAAAAATGTTCTGAACACCTAACATTTAAGAAATAGTGGTGGGGCTCACCTTAGGGAGGCAGAGGCAGGTGAATCTCTGAGTTTAAGGCCAGCCAGGGCTACACAGAGATATACTGTTTCTGGACAAGGGGGGAGGAAGCCCAGGCAGGTGTGTAATGGCATAAACCTTTAATCCCAGTACTTGGAGGCAGAGACAGATAGATGGACCTTTGTGAGTTTAAGGTCAAGCCTGATCTACATAGCAAGTTCTAGGACAACCAAGACTTTCCCCACATCCAAAAAAGTAGGTTGGAGGCATACACCCACAAACACTCCAGAAACAAAAGAGTTGGAGGCTAACTTAACATTCCATAGTGAGTTCCAGGCCAGGCTTACACCATGTCTCAAAAACAAAAGTAAATTTATCAACTACTCAACTATTCCTATAGTTATTATGCATAACAAAGTGACAGACAAGAGATGTGCCATCTGTTCTCAGTTCTAATTACAGTAACTTGACATGGATTTTTAAATAGCTTCATCCTGCTGGGTATGATAGCACACACCTCAAGAGGCAGAGGCAGGTGAGCCTCAAGAGCAACCTGGACTACAGAGTTCAATGCCAGCCAGAGCTATGTAGTGAGACTTTGACTCAATAAAATAATAACAGTAAACAGAATTAGCAAAGAATCACAATTACCACCAGAACTGCGAGACTAAACAAAGCTTAACTTTGTTGTATATGGCCCTAGATTTGATCCCTAGCGCTGCCCCATATACTAAAATTTCACAACTTGGCTGGTAAAGATACAGAGTATGGAGAGGAGAATGGGATGTTAGAGATTCCTAGTAAGAGAAGATAAGGTATGTGAATTCTTGAGGGAAAGAGCTGAATTGAAATGAAGATGGTCATAACTATTGAGAGGGTAACTGGAAAGGAGGCAGGGTCAGATCACAAGGGTTGCAGACCATGCTAAAGTGTGGTGATAACTAGTCTACAATTCCAGGTTAGTACTTGGGAAGATCAAGTTCAAGACGAGCCAGCTTCAGCTACACCGCAAATTCAAGGCCTGCTCACACATGCGCAGCATTCTCTGGGGCGTGGTTCAGTCTGTTTCAACTGTCTCAGATGGGGCTTGGAAAAACATGATCACAGAGAAGCCAGTGCTGTGCTTGGTTAAAGGTCATGCTGAGTAAGGCTGCGTAATGACAGGTAATTTTAGAAACTTCCTATTTCTGGCTATCGGAGACTTAAATTTTAGTGAAATGGTGAGATGTAAGACAACTCTTAAGGGGATAGGGAGCAGGGTGAGCCTTAGCTGGATGTACATCTGAGGAAAGGGATAGATGGGGAGGTCAAGGGGCTTTCAGGAGTTTAGGTAGCTTTTTGTTTGTTTGTTTGTTTGTTGTGGGTCTTAAGATTCATTGTAGGTGTGTGTCCCTGATGCCTATGGAAGTCAAGAAGGTGATGAACCCCCTGAAACTAGAGTTATGTATAGTTGTGAACCACCATGTGGATACTGGAAATCAAACCTGGATTCCGAGCAAGAACAAATAGACCTAACTGCTGAGCCAGCTCTCCTGCCCAGAGTTAAACACAGTTTTAGTTTTAAGGGGCTGGAGAGGTGGCTCAGTGGTTGAGAGCACTGACTGCTTTGCCACGGGTTCTATTCCCAGCACCACATAAGCTGTCTGTGGCTCCAGTTCAGGGGACCTGATAACCCTCACACAGACATACACACAGGGAAAATACCAATTAAATACCAATACAGACGTCAAGCCGGGATTTGATGTGATGAATCTTTTTAAAGTGAGGCAGGGTTCCCAGCTGTAGTAAACTTACAAGAAATTAGGGCCTGGAGGGCTAGGGTAGCCGCTGACTGAGTAGGACACATGCGCAGACCTGGAAAAAAACGCAGACTGCCGTCCTTTGTCCATTGTGGTTCAGGTCGTTGCTGAATGTTTCCAACCGGTGCTAAAACAGGTAAGCGACTACAAGGCCAGGCTCTGATGAGGGATAGTTACTACTGTCACAAGCTCTGGGATGAAACCTTAAAGCTGGAACTCCTGACCTACTTCCAACTTACATCACCTAACTTACTTGAAGTTTTTCTCAGCCTGACTCCTGCGCTAAATTGTCGAGATTCACTTTACCCTAAATTTAGGGAGATCTACTGTGTGTCTCTCCTGAGCATTTGATGAGAAGAGTGGAGGAGAGTTCGATGCTCAAGGAAGATATTTCCACTGAGGCCCAAGGAGAAACGTGTCGATACACATCTACTTATTCAGTGGATCAAGTCTTGTAGCAAGTGCAGTACTAGGAGTAGCAGAGTGTTGTCCTAGGCAGGTGCTTGAGCACTGTCGGTTAAGGGTGTAGGGTTGCTACTGCAAAGTCAGGATTTGGGCAGGAGATGTATTTGCCCTTCGAATGGCAAACCTAGAAAGAAACATCCCATCTCATCCTCTCCTTAAAATCCCTACTACTTGTTTTTATTATTGTTTCAGACAGTCTCACTATGTAAACCTATCTGTTGTCCTAGAATGCAATGTAGACTGGCCTTGGACTCACTGAAATCCACTTGCTTCTGTCACTCAAGGGCTGGGATTAAAAACCTGTGCTTTCAAACCTGACCATATAGATATTTTCAATAGTGAAATTTTAGTAGCGACCCTAAACTTACGGGTGTATGATCTAAACTTAAATAGATCAAAACCACTATAGTGTAGTGAGATATCCCCCTGCCCCTCCAGCGCTAGGCATGCCCATTTGGAGGGTAGGACTAGGTCTGGGGTTCCGACCCCAGCGAACTCTCTAGCTTCCTGTTGGGGTACCGAGAGCAACCTGTGTGGAGTGGATCCCTGGAGACAGAACTTGTGGCAGTCATCTGCTTTCTTGTGTAAATGACTTCTCCCCGAGTAAAATTAGTTTAACCTATGTTGAGCCTGGACCTGTGAATCTTGTCCCGCGCTTCAATACTATAGATTCAGCCATTCATCAAGGCAATACCCATATACCAGATCAAACCAGATTTTTAAGTGCAGATATTTTTCAGTGACCTCATATTTCAAAATGTTTTACCACTTACTTCAGTTAATCCAGACTTAATCTATTAGACTAATAATTCAAAACTCTAGAATCTCGCATTTAAATAAGTGAGAATCATGGATTCCTCAAACAACTCCAGTCAGAGAAAGCTGTGTTCCTCCTACAGATGAATAGTAAATCCAAAGGCAGCTACAAGTAGCTGCTAACTATACAGAAGTCATAGTCACAGAACCAGAAATGCTCTGTAAGTTTGGGAGGTGTTTCTGTTGCATTGTTTTCATTTTGTATCATTTTGAGTACTATCATTTTTGCTGATTCTGGTTTGATTTTTGAGAGAGGGTCTGTCTCTTATATCCCAAACTAACCAGATACTCAGTACGTAACTAAGGCTAGCCTTGATGGCTTGATCTTCCTACCTTTACCTCACAGATACTGGGATGACC